CCTGCAAACGTCAGTCCTCTTGAACATCGTTTACCACATCATTCACACGGAGATTCATGCCAAACCGTTCTTCTGATTATTCCCTGTTGACATTCCTATAGCCATATTTGTGCATGCTCTCGGCTTCGGACATTAGTACCCCCTCCTCTATGCCAATCCCATGCTGTGCCGGCGCTCACACATCACCTGGCGAAATGCATGACGAAACCCCAGCCGGGCTCGACCGCCTGTGCGAATCTGAGGGCTTAATCACATACCCAGAGTATATAGCTGCCCGGAATAGAGACTTTATACATGTTGATCATCTATAAATGTATATAAATAAAGACGTACACATAGTAAGAACATATTGCCTATCCAGATAGACATCGCAGGTTGGGCATACATCAGGGGCAACTACTCAAAAATTCGTTGGTTGAGTCGCGCAGACATGGGCACCACGTCAAGCCCGTGGACTGTTACCCTCTTTTCAACAAAGCTTCGGAGAAAGGATGCCTTCTGGCATGTGACGAAATCCATTTCGCACCACCAAAAATGAAACATGCATGGTTGAAGCTTGAAACCACAACGTTTGCTGGTGTTTGCGTCGGGGAATCGCACATCACTCCGCTGGGCTTCTGAACGGTGTCGGATTTCCACAGCCACCCAAACCATGGTGACACAAGCTCTGCACCTACTCGCTGGAGAAAGATGCGAAAGCTGTGCCCAAAACCGCCCTACCAACAAACAAGATTATACATATATGTATATATACATACCAACATTATAATAGCACATATATATATATATATATACATATGCATATATAAATACATAAAGTAAGTATTCGAAAAGGTCTCCCTCAAACCCATGTAAAACAGGCTAGCACAGCATGCCCAGCGTTTGGGCGCGGCTCAAGTGCCAGGCTGTCCTTGTGAGCAGACTTTTGAAACCGTTCTCATTTCCCGCCATAGCTGACGTTTGGCAGTGTGAGGCTTTCCCTTCTCAGTTGCTCTATGCACGCAGCGAACAAACGCCAACAGAAGCAATTGAGCAACTGGGTGTCTTTTTGAGGACTCCCTGTTTTCCGAGGAAACTAAAATAACAATGACACCATTTTGGGTTCCTCCTACAAAACACACCGAGGGTAAGGAAGGTCCACCTGCCTCATGAACCCCTCAGGATTCCAAGCCTGATCCCTGAGGAGGCCACTGGCTGGAACTTTCCGACCCTCTTCACAAAAGGTCCAGGTGAATTCAAGGTTCACCTTTTGGGTCCAGAACGAGACATTGACCAAAGAACAACCAACAGGTCAAAAGGTTGATTCACTCCAGCGCACTTGCTTTCATGCTATCTCAGCCCGCAGCGCGTTCATGTCCCCTCCATTTTGCTTCATCGCCACAAAACCATATGCCGCGGGATCAACGAACTCTGCCATGCGCCAAGCCGAGTCGGCTGCCACGCCGATCCCCGCGATTCAACAACGCGTCTGAGCAGTGAGCAGTGAGCAACCTGAGGCTTGGCGCAGTCTCCGCCCGGGTTCTTCCCTGGCCATCTTGCTCAGGCATATTTGAAGTCGGGGTAGAAGATGTACGCACCTCAAGTTACCGTGCACAGGAATGCCGGTCAAGGAGTGGAGATGTCTTGGGGCGGCGGCGACAAAACTCTGCTGCACCAACATGAGGTCCAGGGAAGGTAGAAACACATAGAAATAAACCTACCATTCAAGAATAAGCCCTTCTGGCCACAACAATTAGAAAACATAAGTGTTAAACCGAGAGAAGCTTGGCACGTGCCATCTTAGTCCGCTTCTTGATTTCTGAAGACCCGACTAGTATTGGTGTTGGTTCCCAAAAGTCGGAATTCAGCCCGTGGACTGCAGCAGGTTTCGAACAAAAAATTGACTGTTGTAGGGAGTGGACTACTCACCCGATATCTCGCGGTGGATGCATCCGAAAGAAAAACAAAAAGTGGTGCTTCGCCGTTCCTTGATTTCCCTTCGGACATATGGTGGGATCCTTACATATCGCATGTGGGTTACCAAAAATACGTAGGTACAGCAAATATATGCCTTTGTAATTAGAGGTGATTGGTTCACTTGCAAGTTGACGAATCAACCGTCCAGCATTTGTTCTCAACCGTCCAGCATTTTTGAGACCTGGTGAAAGTCGTCATTACATTGGGTATGTATATGCGTCAATTCAGGGCCCCCCAGCTGGTGGTTTTCACGGTGGCTTCCCTTTGAACCCGCACCCGCACAACATCATCTCATTGAAGCTGGACTGGCCCCATTATAGCAAAGTCACCCAGTCACCCCCGAAGTGGTAGGTGAAAGCATGTGAAAACCCCAACCGCCAAACAAAGTTAGCAGCCCCCCAAAAGGGACAATCCAGGAAAACCCAAAGAGCAAAAGGGCAGAAGGGTGGGTGAAGTCCGGCAATGGCCCCAGAAACCCATGCTGACCAGCCGCGGCGTCGGCGCATCTGGGGGCCCTCGATATAGGTGGTGCCGGCGTTAAACCTCAGGATTGGTCGGGTGCGTCAATCCTAGTTTCCTTTCAAATTGCTTTTTCCTTTTGAATTTCAGGCCCTTGCAACTTTTTCACCAAAAACTGAAAGCGACGGGGGCTTTGTCTAAACAAGCTCTGGGGTGGTTTGGGGCAGCTTTCGAGGGGGGTTCCGGAGTGTTCCAGGGGGTTCCCGGCTGTTGGGGATAGGGATGCCACCTGTGTCGTGTTTTTGTTTATCTTGTTTCTTTTTTTTGGGGGGGGCTCCCAATCCCAAATAACATGGCTGTGGCTCAAAAAATCGGTACCAAAATGGCTTGCCCTGGCAAGTGGAAACATGGACCAAAACCTGCGGTTTGCCCCTCCTGTTTAATTTTGATTGCCACACCCACATGGGACAGGTCGGGGCCAAACAAAGCCTTGACTGCTGGGGGGGGGGGGGGGGGGGTTAGCCGTTCGTGGAGCCGCAAAAAAGAGCCCTTTGTGACAGATGCAAGCAAAACCCAACAAAAAAATCCAAGGGTGACCGTCACAAAGTCCTCGCAAAGGGGCCCCCAAGAAAGAGGTTCCTCTACACAAAAAAGCCGGAATTTCCTGTTAAGCTGCAGGAGAATTGGCGACACAGAGGGCAGCACTTAAGGCACGACTTCACCAACCGGGACACTCCAAAGACCCTGAAGGGTGGAAAAAAACAGGCGCCTGAATGTACACCAAAGAAAACCAACACAAGCTTCCACCCGTAAGGGGGCAGTTATCTGAGCCGCTGTCATTGATTGTTCTTTCCCCTTTCCAAATGAACCATTGACTACCGGACATGTTGACCCAACTTGATCCTTTCCTGGCTCGGGTTTTGCTTGACTCAATTCCTGAGTGGATCGGCGCAACATGTGCACCACACAAAATATGTTCCCAAAAAGTGACTCAAGTCCAGGAACTCGGGAGACGAGTGGCATTCATCCCTGCAAACTTACAGGGCGAGCCCCATGCTGCATGCTGCCAGGTGACTTGGCTTGATCCCACTGGCACTTCTGAAGCTCCTTGGCGGGGAATCAAAACCCAGCGGCTTGCATGCGAACAAGCGCGGGTGCTTGTTTGACACTTGCAATTTCCCAGCCGTGCAGTGACCATTGGTAGCAAAGGAACTGTTCTCGGGGTGGACACCTTGTTTAGTGGAGAGCCTGCCCAACAAACCAAACAAGGGTCAGAAACCAAGCCTGTCGCTTTTCCAGCTCCTTTTCGTTTTACGTACAGTTCCGGTCCATCTTTCTTGGGACCGGCCCGCCAAAACCCCCATAGCGGGGCTGTGATTTGACCCAAGTAGGCTTTTCCTCGTCACCAAATTGTTTCACCAACCTCACAGTGACCTGACCTTAAACTGGCAAGGGAAAGGTTACTCCACATGGCAAGCGCCCAAGAAGGGGTGGCCTCCCACCAATTACCACGGAACCTGATGTTTCGGGGGCTCCTGAGGATTCCATGTTCATTGGTGGGAGGGCAATGAAGCTGAACTCACAGGTGTCCTTCTGGTAAACTACCCTGGCAAACAGAATCAAACCCATCTAAACCAGTTTTCCATAGAGTTCTAATCAAGCGAGCCAAAAACCTGAAGTTCCAACGCATGGCCATCTTGGACGCAAGTGGCGTCCCACCACTTCATACACTTCTTGGACGCCACCTCCGGCTGCGTCTGGTACTGATAAACCTGGGCAAGGCATTCGTGCGGCCCTTTCCAGGTTCCTTCACAGGGAAAACAAAAGGAACCCCCACCAGTTTGCCAATTTTGACATGGGGGTACCCTTTTCGGGGTCGGCTTGAAGGGCAAGAGCAAAACCATCAAGCCCTGTTGACATCAAATGGAGCTTAAACAATCTAAACCTTGCGGTTGAGAAGCAAATGGCCCTGATAGTGAATGGATCCCATGAAAAAATCAACACGCACCTGCGAAACACGTTTTTCCACCGTGGGACATGCAACAAGAAGGGTCCCAGCACCTTGAATAGGGTGAACATGAGCAACAAATCGCATCACCTGACCAACCGCTATGTTCTGTCTTTCCGTTTCTGTGTGGTAGTTTCTGATTGAGGAGCCTCCCAAAAAAAGGAATTGGGCAAATGGCGATGCCTTGATTCCTCCAAACTGGCTTCCCAGTTTTCCTATCAGGGTTGCTTCTTGAAGTCTCTGGCGCATGGGTAGACTCCTGGGCCCCGAAGCGAACCCAAAGGAACTCTCTACGCAGCGCCCCGTGTTTTTTCGCCGCTCCGCCGCTACGGCTAAGCGAGCGCGGGCGAGCGGCGTTCAAGCACCTGAACTCCTCGATCTGCAAGTACTTGCACGCGTCCTTGGGGGAGTCCTGTGCTCAGGGGGAGGGGGGTGAGAGGCTGCGCGATGCAAGTCCATTTTCGAGTCTTCCCACCTTAAAGGGAAAATGGGTTGCCATCGATGATCTGGGGTCGAAATCCCCCCTCCAATTCCGGTTTGAAGGGAGCCGCTGGGGAGCCCTTGTGCTGCCCTCAGACTTCGGGATGGAGGTTAGTGGGCCTCCGGAGAAAAACATATGTCTGGCCCCTTCAAACGGTCCATCTTTGCTTGAGGGGCTTTAAGGCTCTCCCAAGGGCTAACACATTTTCTGGGGGGTTCATTGTGTTTCCACATCCAATTTCAATAGTGTGCTGGTCCGCTGGTCCTTGTGCACCTTCTCAGAGAAATCGGCCACCGCGAGGCGAATGTCATCCGCAGTCTTCGTCGTCGTGTACTTCCTTGTCACAAGACACATCGGGCTCCCTGTGTCCCTCTTACACATCACCACGCCAGGAGAAAACTTATCTAAAAGTGGCCCAAAGTGTGATGTTTAAATGTAGGCACCCCCGACACGTCTGATTGCCAAGGACCAACCATCATGGGTAAGCTCGTTTCAGCAGGTGTGACAGCTTTTCTGCGTGCAAATCGAGAACAGAAATCGAAGAACAACGCTCTCTCTCTCTCTCTCTCTCTCTCAGAGGACTCTCTTTATGTATATACTTATGCAAACTAATTATTTGTATTTGGGTGCTTCTCAAAATTGGGAAAGCCTCCATGTTATTCAGTTGGTGTGCTTGTATGTTTAAAACCCTTCCAAAAACAGTCCTCCTATTTTCAGACATGTCTGACATTTCGTCACTCGGATGCCCCTTTCCGACGAAGCCCACCAAACCAACCAGTTCAAAACAATGACCCTTGAGGTGGTTCAGACTGGCGCAGGCTGCGCCCCGACTCATGCCGCTGTTCAAGGAAGCCACGTGCCGCTTGGTAAGCCTATACCCATTTTAGGGGCTGAGGGGTTCAGGGGTTCAGGGGTCCAAGCAAGGAAAGGGCAGTTTGTGAGCCGGTGCCAGGGCTTTGCCCCAACTTCTGCTTGAACATCTTGCTTTTGTGATAGGGGAATGTTGGACCCACAGACAACAAAAGCTGGACATGTCTCTGACACCATGGCTGCCTTAAGTCCCGCTTTCAAATGACCCTAATCACAATCCTCACGTGGATCGAAAGGGCCCAAGGAGCAAGGAGCCTGAAACTCATGAAACCTGAAGGGGGGTCACCAGTCCAAAGTCCAAAGGTTACATCTGGCAAAATTGGGGATCCCGCATTCTATTCCATACCCTGTGGGACCAATGCGACAAGGGAAGCCACTACCACCTGGCACCAGGACAAAGGACTGATTTTAACCAACCCAGACTCGCACACCAAATACCTCGCGCGCAAGTCCAAGCAGCTCAGGCACGTAGAGCCCATGATGGTAAGCAACTGCGCCTCAGCGCAGGCAGGTTGGCCAACTGCTGACCACCAAAATGCATCTAGCCTCAAACTCATGCCGTTCCCCCCTGGCCACGCTCAGGGCGACTTTTACCAGGGTCAAGGCTTACAGTGCTCGTAAGGCTGGATAGAGTTTGCTTTTCAGTTTTGGGGGCTTCAGCGGTCCAGGAATCCCAAAGCAGGTGTTTCCCATGTTAGATGAAGACTGTGTTTTGCAAGGAAGTTGAATAGACATGCTTGCTGGATGAGAAACCCGTGTAAATGATGTGTTCATGCTCCTTCTGGGGGACGCCTTGCCTTGAGCAAATAGAAAGGAAAGATCTTGACGGGAGTTTCTCCAAACTCCAAAAGTCGTGCACGCAACTTGTATATGGGAAGTAACAACGCCCTAGGCCTGGCTGAGTGACAACTCCTGCTTTGGAAGCTCGCCAGCCAACCATTTCCCAGTCGCAACCTCCCAAAAACCCCAGAAACTGACAATCACCTCAAACAAACCGTGAAATCTGCAGTTTTTAGAATGATTCCCAAACCTAAAGCTGGGATTCCCCAAGCAACGGGCCAGCATCATTGTGAGCTCGCTCTACCCTCGCAGGCGCCACAGGCGTTGACGCCGAGGCGCGCTCCCAGTTGGTGGAGAACTCGGGCTTCGCATTGCCCTCCACCTTCATGTGGAAAGGCAGCTGGTGCTCATAGGTCCTGAGTTCTCAATGCATCCATGTAGCCCTTGACATGAACCACACATTGGCCTATGCATATAGGAAATAGTTCTGAATGTGGTGGACATCACTCGCATGGGGGTTGAAGTCCGCAAACTCTTTTCGACTCATTTTAAGTTAAGGATGTTCCCGGCTTAAAGTTCATGACAGCTAGCGTTTACATATTGAAGGGCTTCTAGGCCAAAACTTGCTTGACCATGTGCTAGAAGGGCTTATTCACCAACTCTTGATTGACCATGTGTGTGTGTGTGCGTACGTCCGGGCGGGCGGTCGGGCGGGCGGGCGGGCAAGCGGGCGGGTGGGCGCGTGTGCGTGCGTGCGTGCGTGCGTGCGTGGGTGGGTGCGTGTGTGCGTGGGTGGGTGGGTGGTGGGTGGGTGGGTGGGTGGGTGTGTTTTTGCGGGTACCCCTTTTGTTTGGTTTTAAACCAACAGCATGTGTTTTTTGGGGAGGAAGCAAGTTCAAATGAGCTGAAAGAGGCTGTGCCCGCCATGAATTTGCAAAGCTCAGCTTCCCCCGAGATTGTGGTTTGGAGGTTAGGGGGTTTCCCATCCACCCTGTATAACAAACCAATCCAACCCACCAATTCCGGGTTGCAAGTTCAGCATAGGATCCCTAGCTGCGCGGCCAGCGGCCAGTTTCAACCTTTCAACCTGGCCGCCGGAATCAAGCATCGCCTGAAGCGGCATCGCTTTGGGGAGAGAATCCCCAAAGTTGGAGAGTGCCACTTCCCGGATCTTCAAATCACCCGGCTTCCAACTAGTCCGCTGTTTCTTTCTCTGCGCGGTGAGGCACAGGTTTCTCTTGTTGAAAGGTAGGACATCTTACCTGCACTACATGGGCCAACATCGCATGGCTTTCTCTGGAAAAAAAAACCAACTCAGCGACCAAGGGAAATCACAATTACATTGTTATTGCATTAGCACCCGGGAAATACCTTGGAAATTGAAGGCCGCGACTAGGGCGGCGACTGATTCACTTGCTCCTCCGTGAGCTTCAGTTGATTGGCAAAGTCGAAGGTGTCCTGTGCCGATCTGAGACACGGTGTGGATGCCCGCCCCGTTCCGGCAGGCACGGCCGAAGGCCGCATGTATGGACTCATATATGGCTGCTTCTCAAAATTAGGGACCGCTGCAGGTGGCTGGATCCCTTTGAGTTTCCCCTGAGCCATCCACAACAGGGTTCCATATGTTGAGACATGAACTCCTGGTCTGAAACCCGAGCTGGACGGGTGATTGAGCATTAGTAGTAGGTGCATTATGGGAGACCAGCGGCCAGGGCTCACTATGGTCATGGGTACTCTGCAACAGAGGAATTGTTCGAAAGGCTTATGGCAAATGATGAGTGGCAAGTGGTATGCTGATTCATCTATGGGCAATCAACCGGCTGCTACATACAGACGCCACCGGAGGCCCAAAAGGGAAACTCAGGGACTGCCTGGGCAGCTCGTCTGATTTTAGGGGACCCACAAAATGCTGGGTTTGCCTTTTTGCTTTTCTTTTTTGGACAAAAAGAAAAGGAGCATCCTCAAAAAAGACACACGTTGCAACATGGCACCACCATTGTGCAAAATCAGCTAGCGACTCCTGGGAGCAAGCCATTTCCATGTTTGGTGCGGACACACTACCAGTCCTTGCACAGCAATGTGGGCGATTGCTTTATGTGTTGATTTGTTGTTGTTGTTTTATATTTGGGGGGAGGCTCCCCTAAAGAAAGACACACCCGTGTAAAAGCCCACAATGATTTAAGGCATCCAAAGTGTCAAAAAAAGGCGCATGAGGGCGCTTCGGATGATTGATGCTCACCTGCTCATGAAAACCACGTGGGGGAAAAGCGGTTGTCAAACGGCGTTCAGGCACTCGATATCTTGAAAACATGGTGAACGGCCGTGTGTGTGTGTGTGGTGCCTGTGCTTGAGTCTGCGTCTGTGTGCGATTTGCATGGAATCTTCTTTGCAGGTGCAACCTTGGCCTAGAATATCCAGTGACAGCAAAGTGGCCGGTCTTTTCGGAGTGCCCTGAATCGAGGTTGGACTCCTTTTGCACCAAGGGCAAACATCTGCCACGTTCCTCTAGGAAAACGTTGCCCCCTATACCGCGAAAGCAGCAACCACACCATGGGTGTACCACGAGATACCAAATGTGGAACTGCGAAGGGGCACGTGGTTTCCCGTCAGGAAAACATGATCAGCTTTGGGGGTGCCCGTGACTACCATCTCCTTACAGAACTCCTGGCAGCTCTTTAGCTCCCTCTTGAAAGGCAATTTGGATACCCCTAGCTCCTTGGCTCCCTTCCAACCACCAGCCAGTTGAGTTTTGGAAGCACACCATATTATACCTTTGGCCTCCAAACCATCCACTGCGACATGTTGATGTGGGGGAGGGTATCTTGACGCCCTTGAGACGCCTCTCCGGTTCCTGAAAAAGAATACCCTCCCACCAACTACCATTGGAGCTCATCAAAGGGTTTAGAGGGTTTCTTTAGAGCATAACATCCTGCAAACCAGCATTAATTAGTGCGTGGGAGGATGCCTGTTAAAATTCAAATGTCACCTGACTAGAATTTTCAGTCACGTGATTAGATCAAATGGTCTTGAGCCTTTCTCATGTGATCCAAGAGACGGGAAATGGGCCCATCGACTCGTCATACTTCTTGTACTTCTTGAAGCCTTGCTCCTGGCGCTTGCCAATCACATCTTGCATCGATGTGTTTCCTAGCTGACAAGATTAGTGTCGGTGCAAACTACTGTTCCTCTGCAACGTATCCACTTCGCTTACCTCAACCCAAATTATGTGCGTTAGTTGCGAGGGGCAAAAAAGGCGAAGAAACAATAAAACAGATCGGAATACCAAGGTCGGCCCTGAGCCAAATTCCACAACGGTGGCATGCTACTGGACATGACGTGTGGAGGCTATGCGAAGAGCACGGCAATATCCGAGTGCCAACAAGGTAGCAAACCCCAAAAACCGACACACTCTGAACAATGATTGATTGGTTTCCTTTTCAGCTTTTAGGTCAAGACATGAAGTTGCACCCTCGACAAAGCACAGGGAAACATCTACTATGAGAACAGACCATCTGCATGCAGTGGGCTCTAGCTTAGGCAGGCTGGAGGGCAAGCGCTTTCTCTGGGTCTGCTTGCCCTGTCAGTGAAACCAAACTCTGGATCCCTCGTTTAATTGACTTGTCAGACAATTGGCAAGGCTGACCCTCGTCCTAAAACGCATGTGTCTGGCTGAATTCGCTGAATGCAAATACGACGAATTTGTACAGGTTCCGTCAGATCTCCCTTTCGAGAAATGCATCCCCTCAGGTCCCAGCATCAGAACCTCCCTTTTGGCATCAGTTGGACAATTCAACGCATTTGTAAGCATTTAAATGAAGGAGACGTGATCCGGAAAAGCTCCTGGAAAATGTGATTTGGGATTCGCGAATCCCGAACCCCGAACCCCGAAACCCAAAGTTGGATTTGGGATTCGCTAATCCCGAATCCCGAAATTGCAGTTTGGGATTCGCCAATCTCGAATCCCGAAATTGGGCTTGGGATTCAGGGATTGGGATTCGGAATCCCGAATCCCGAATCCCGCGAGCCAAGCGATCCCCGGATCGCCACTCAAATAAAGCCAAAAGCCAATCGACACAAGCCAAAACACACATGTTGCGTTTTCTGCAGTGGGAAACAAAAACACAAAAGAGCCGGCCTTGGGCAACAACAAGACACGGCATTGTCCCAGTCCCCGTGCGTTTGGGGGTAACCATGTAAGTGCCGCGGGAAAGTGTGAAACATAAGCAGTACCATCTATCCGCGTGTCGCCTCTGAGAATTAAGCACACAGAATAAGTTAACTATAGCTCTAAGGAGGACCGTACCGACCAAATGGGGTTGTCCTCAAGTAGACCATCCAAGAAAAGTACCTCAGATGAATCTCCAAGTATCTTTGAAACTTCAGTACACGTTGCAAGACCTCCCCGGCATGACCTACAGCTGGGGAAATCACACCAGACCTTTCAGCACCCAGAACTCTCGAAATCCAGCGCCAACCTTTCACCGCAAGGGCCTGGGAACCCAGGGTGAAACAAGCCCCCTGGAATACATAGCCGATACATCATTTTCAGAGGTTCAGCAATCCAGGGTCATGAGGCATGCGTCATGGACTGCTCCACATTCCGAGCCAACCACGTGGAGTTGCTGGGCGGCGCCTTGTCCATCTGCGGTGTGAGGGGCACCTGCGACTCGGGAAATAAAAGAGAAAAAAACGCCCGTCCCGTGTGCCTGAAATATGGGTTGCCTATGAACGGGAAAAGTTTCATCATGGTCTTGTGAGGCTGCCTATTTTCCCGCAATGAAAGCCCACAACGGCTTTCAGCAGTCAAGCAGGAAGGACAACACAAAACGTGCAATGTGAGGGGATTCTTGGCTGCTTCACACAAGCTCGAGCTTTGGAGCCTTTGCCCAAAGTGATGAGCCTTTAACACTAACGTGACAAACTCAGCTTCAGGGCGATGCACTTGGCAATGCAGCCTCTCTTGAACTGGTGTGATCTGAAGCCATCTTGACACAAACATGCTGCTCGCAACACCCCTGGCATGCACACGAGGCCAGCCTTGGTTCAATGAGAATGACCAAGCTTACCAGCAAAGGACTCGCTGATATGGAAACTGTGGTTCTTTCTGAACCTCCTCTGACCAAGTTGGCTAGTCTTAAACAGGTCCATGCACCCTCCCAAACATGCAACCCGGCTGGCAACCGCAAGGCCGTCCTCAAGGGACCTTCTGGTGACTATGGCTGGTGAGGGCCAGTGAGGGTGTGAATGGTAGCTTGGGGCTCCATGATGCTCAGAAGGGCATATGTTTAAAAAGCGGTTGTCAGGTTCCATGCAGAGTCCAACGGGCTCAACCTGTTCAAACAACCAAACCCTGCACCGTGACAAACAAGACTCGGCCGGGGTGTGCCTTTTGACGCCTGAAGCGTCAAGGAACTACTAATCGGTTGCCAAGCAACCCTTTTCTTGGGTGGACTTGTCGGTGGGAATTTGGAACTCCAACCAATTTGAGATTTGGAGGGGAGGGGTCAAAAAGCTTTCAACCTGACTGAGTAGTGGGAAGGTGTTCTGCCAACAGTGCAGGTTTCCCTCAAAATGGGCACCCCTCTCCTGTTTCATTGAAATGGGGTTCCTGTTAACCCAGGTTTTTCAAGCTTGGCATCCAGTCGGCCACCAACAGGGCGCTTTCCACCAGCCGGTCCAAACGGACACTTTGCTCCAAATTGCCCAAACATCCAGGTGACAGTATCACTGAAGCTGACATCCTGAAATCTGGAAATGTGTCAAACTATGGGGACCCTCCAAATGCCATTTGCTTCCATGCGGCTTCCATCCCTTCCGCTGGTCCCGCTGGTCCGGTAGGCAAGCGCCTGCGACGACCCGAGCCACCTCCCAGCTCCGGGCCTGCTGGGTGTGCTCGGGGAAGGCCGTGGGGTGGCTGTTGGCCGACGGCCCTTCACATCGCACCGAAGGCCTCGATTCCGCACTGGAGAGTTCAATTGGTCGACTTTTGGGGACACCCCCAAAAGGTGGAGGTCTTATCTTGGCTTCGCTTGTAAAGGATAGACCCAAACGGGTGTCCTCTTGTGGGCTAAGTGTTGATGTGGTGGCATCAGGCTGGCGTTTCAAACGCGAGTCTGGCTGAAGCAATACCATGCACGCATGTATCATGTTCATTGCAGCGGCTGTTTCCCGTTTCCGCCTGCCGCAAAGTGGGATCCCTTGGGGGGAACCTTGCCCGTAGCGCAAAACTTCCGGTTTCACCCGCGCATGCGTGAGCCTGATTGAAGAAACGCATACCCTTCCTCCGGTGAAGGTGACCTGACAGGGTCGCCTTCAAAAAGACAGAACAGAAAGATAGCTCGCTAGACAGATAGATAGGTACGCGGGGAGGATGCGTAGATAAATAGCTAGCTGGCTAGATGGATAGATAGCTAGATAGATAGATAGATAGATAGATGGAAAGATGGATGGAAAGATAGATAGACAGATAGATAGGTAGATAGGTAGCTAGATACATAGATGGATGGAGATAGACTAGACTAACTAGACTAAATTAGACAAGAGTAGCTTAGACTAGGCTAGATAGGCAGGTTACAGTGGATAGATGGATAGATAGATAGATAGATAGATAGATAGATAGATAGATAGCGAGATAGATAGCGAGATAGATAGATAGATAGATAGACAAAACAAAGAGATAGATAGATGTATATAAAAAAGAGAAATAGATAGATAGATAGATAGATAGATAGATAGATAGATAGATATATAGATAGATAGATAGATGGATATGAAAACAGAAATAGATAGATATATAGATATATACATATAGATAGATAGATAGATAGATAGATAGATAGATAGATAGATAGATAGACAGACAGACAGACAGACAGATAGATAGATAGATAGATAGATCGATAGATAGATAGATAGATAGATAGCGAGATAGATACGTAGATAGATAGATAGATAGATAGATAGATAGGTAGATAGATAGATAGATAGATTAGATTAGATAGATAGATAGATAGATAGATAGATAGATAGATAGATAGATAGATAGATAGACAGACAGATAGATAGATAGATAGATAGATAGATAGATAGATTAGATAGATAGATAGACAGACAGACAGACAGACAGACAGACAGACAAGATAGATAGATAGATAGATAGATAGATAGATAGATAGATAGATAGATAGATAGATAGATAGATAGATAGATAGATAGATAGATAGATAGATTAGATAGATAGATAGATAGGATTAGATAGATAGATAGATAGATAGATAGATAGAGATAGATAGATAGATAGATAGATAGATAGATAGATAGATAGATAGATATGAATATAAGATAAGAACATATGAATAAGATACAAACTTATAATATAGTAGAACATGAAATACAATAGACATATAATTCGATGGGTAGGTTAATTGAATAGATATAATACACATAGTAGGTAGATCGACTAGGTAGATGGTAGCTAAAATGAAAACAAACAGGCAAATTAGACCGATTCGATGGATTACATAGATTAGACAAGATAGATTAGATTAGATCAGATTAGCTACATGGATAGACAGATACATTCCAGTCCGTTCTAGATAAACTGATGATAGCTAGACCCAACAATAGATAGGTAGGTGGATAGAAACACTCAGATATGAGATTGACAGATGCGGTTGATAGATCGGTAGAAAAGAGAGAAAGGTAGATAGACATGTAGGCAGGTAGATGTACACACAGACAGATAGACAGACAGATAGACAGACAGACAGACAGACAATAGGTAGATAGATAGATAGATAGACAGATAGATAGGTAGATAGAAATATAGTCAAATAGATGGGACAGGTTTGGTTTGATTCGATCGATTAGATCAAACAGATAGATTGGATTAGATTATAAGAGAGATTGGACTTGATTCTGATAGATACACAAATAGGTAGGCAGGCAGGTAGGTAGGTGGATAGGTGGATAGATGTACAAATGCCTGGATGGACAGACGGCTAGACAAGTAGACAGATAGATCGGAAGACACACAAATGCACAAATGGATGCATATATGAGCCAATAGAAGAACATCAATGTTAGAACCCAGGTCTCATGCTGTGAAAGATCTGGCTGAATCAGTCACACTTGCAACGGCTTCGTCCCATCATTCAATGCGCCATGGTCAAAACTTGCTTGGTGGGCCATGGTCGCGAACTTCCCCATGAATGGGCGCCACCCCGGCCAATCCCAAGCAAAAATGGGCTTTTGACCAACGGCAACTGCTTCTGACACTCTTGTTCAAGGAAATCCTCCTCAAAGCACATATTGCCAAGCTGCTGGTTCCCCATCGCGCCAGAGTGCAATGACTGCGCCAAGGCTTGAGCCGACTGTCCGCAAATCGCACAGGTGCACAAAAGTCGCTAAAATGCGGGAAACAAACAAAGAACATACCCAAAACCCTAAAGTGTTCAATTGCTACACGCCAGTCAATGCTTTTCTGACTGGGACTGTCAGCTTTGCACGTTGCCCATCTTGTCTCGGTTGCCTTGCGTTGCCCAAGGTTGGAATCAATGTATATACGAAGGGGATGCACGTCCAAGGATCACCTTTGCCGGTTTGTACCTTGATGGAGGTGGCAAGATTGTGGATACACACAGGTGTGACCGTGTTCTAGCCCCGCCCATTCGAATCTGGGGGAATGTGGGGTAACACGGCAGGGCCACGGATGCATGTTGCACCTGTTTTGGGCGCGGGGGGTTCGATTCCCTCTCAGTTTGGGCTGACTGGTTTGCCACCTGCTAGGCAGTGCCCGCCACTGGTTCCGATGGAGATCTGCAATGCGCAACATCCCTGTCCGCTCCGCGTGCAAGCTGCGGGGTTGGGGGGGCACGGACTGTAGGTCCTGCAGTAATTAGAGGGGTACCCTTTTCTCTGTGGTCTATTTTAGTAGGGAACCCTCCCAACCAAAAAAGTGGTGAGAAAGGGCACCTAGCTGGGGGACCTAGGTAAAGCAGGCTGCCACAAAGCCGCGCACCAGTCACCTCCTTCCGCCCCCTCGAGCCTATGGCTGTGGCGCTCGGACATCCCTCGGAGAGCGATGGGTGCCGCTCCACCCTGCGGGACGGGCGGACACGCGGGAAAAAGGAGTCCTGGTAAGGAATCTACACCCCGGAAAACCGCTGCAACCACTACCACCCAAAGCAAGAATTGAAAAATTAGTGCAAAAGAAGGGGGGGCCTTGGGCTACCATTACGCCAGGGTCCACATAGACTTTCACCCAACTATACACGAAACCACTCAAAACATGTTTTGGATTGCTCAATTAAAAGTTGGCAGGCGCATTTGCAACTGTAGCTTACATGCTTTGTTCAAGTGACAATACATGTGCAGCGTAAACAGCTCCTACGTAATATGACTGCAGGCGGCGGCGGAAAGTTTGTAGATTTGGAATCGGCTTAGTATTGCTATATTTAGCCTTTCGACGTTGAAGGCCTGGGCAACGAATTTGTCGTTTCTTTAGAAAATTGCCAAGCCCCTCCTGTCAGCTTCCGTGATTGTTGGAGGGAGGGTTGTTGAGCCTGGCATCTCAGAGACTCAGAGAGGGCGACGTAGCTTTGAGATCTCGGCAAGGCATTTGTTCTACGCGTTTTCCCAGGCCTTGGCTTCCAAGGTCTGTTGAAACTTTATCTATCGCCAATAGGCGATCCTGCTTCTCAAGCCAGTCGCAAGCTACTGCTTCTGCTGCTGCTTGCATTACTTCTGTTTCTGCTAGCTACCTCTGCTCTAGCTGCTGCCTACTTGCTTACTGCTTACTGCTCACTACCGCCCCTTCACAAAACAAATGCTCTGTTGATCCCAGGTGTCGACCGATGCTTTATAACCAAAGGAGGTATGCCAGGGGGCCACGCAACGATCTATTCCTGCGCAAGAGCCTCAGGGTGTTGCGGCCTGAGCACCCGCACCCTTCTTAAGATCTGTTCGTTTAACAAAGCTGCTCAATTGGCAACATTGAACCCTAAGCAGGCCTTAAGAGTTTCCAACCCCCAAAGAAGTCTTCCCCATCCCCCCCAAAAGCAATCTGGCATAATGCGTATTTATTTATATCTATCTATATATATAGATATCCATATCCACACTAGTCACTAATGGTGATAGGCCTCCCTTTTCCCGTGATACCCACCTGAAGGCATCTCGATCCAAACTGAGCACCACATGCGTTCCGTTTTCGCGGGCTTGGCCACCCTGCCCTGGCGAGGGCGAGCAGGTGCTTGTGACCTGTCGAGCGAAAAACCACGTGCCAAAGCCTGGGTAGGCAATCCCTGACGTGTGTAACATGTTTTTTTTTCTTCAATATATACAGATATATATATATATATATCTCCCCAAAAGGCAGCAAACACAGGGCCCTTGGGAGGGTGCATATATATATATATATGTGTGTGTGTGCGTGTGTGGCTGGAGCGCCGGTTGATTTGCACAGTGTATTCCAACCATCCAGTGGATATACATGCACCGAATATACATGTACGTGCGTGTGTGTGTGCATAGATACAGATGCATATCTATATGTATATAAAAACAAATATGTACCAGTACATAAAATGTATATTATGTATATATATATATATATGTATATTATAGATGTGTGTGATGTGCTGGCTTCGGCCTATGGTTGAGCTGAGAACAGGGGTGCTGGCCATGCAAGTAGAAGGCTTACTGCACGCGTGGTCGAGCTTGCCATGGTTAAGCAGGGTCTTGACAAAGCAGGTGGAAATTCGGGGCCCTGTTTTTGGTATCCCGTTAATAGTGAGCAACTTGCGTGTTTGCCAAAATTAGGAGCCCTGTTGTTAGGATGGGGGTTTGACAAAGCAGGTGGCGGTTTGTCAAAGCAGGTGGGGGCCCTGTTGTTACGTATCGATTTCAAAGCGAGGACCAAATGCGTGGCAGGGATTGACCAAACAGGGCCATACTTTGACTCCCGACCCTCCTCCGCCCCATAACCAGCAGCACATGCCCTCCCCGAAATGTTACTTCCTTCCTTGGACATGCTTCTCGCTTAGCTCCTGGGAAAGCAGAAAGCAAACTCCCAACATGGGAGCCCAAGGTCACTTTGCCAATTGACTTAGGAAGGATGGCACTGATCTGTGACCCCCAGGTAAAGCATAAATCCGGCCCTAAGAACATCACGCCCGCAAACTGACTTCAACTCCAGAATTGCCGCTGAACCGGGATTGATGAAGTGGGTTGTAAATACGGATCATTTTCTTTTACTCACCCTACAACCTGGGACATCGCTGTGGAAACCAGAGAGTGGTTGATGCCACTCTCAAAGCCATCACTCCTTTTACACTCACGGAACCATTCAATACTTTCTGTTTCCCACAGCCATGTACGTCAAAGGCAGGAATAAAGCCGACAGCTTTTCAGGCGGCCCTCATGACAAGTGCCATCCCCGACCAGGTGCCAGGCACTGATGCTATCCCGCCCGCGGTCCTCCCTCAGCGAAAGGCGAAGGGGGTCACCCTGGAGGTCCTTCGATGACATATGTCTGCCAACATAGGTGTCATTTTTGGGAAAATGGATGGCCCTGGTAGTTGATTGAACCGCCAGGTCAACCATGTCTGCCGAGCTCACCTGCGGCTTCTTAAGGCATTCTTTGTCTGATCCCCCCCAACCCTCCCTCAGGGGGAGGCCTGTAAGGATTCTGAGAGCCAAGAGACAAGACTTGCCCCTGATCTTGACAACTCCGGAAAGGCATTCGCAATCCCTGTGACACGCCTCGCCTGCGGCGTCAAGGGAATTCTGGGTCTGGGCATGTTGGACGTGCTTGTCTGGGGGCGGGGGGGGGTACTATTGACCCCGGAAGCAGAAGCAAGAAAGCTTGTTGGATCCAGCCGGCTTTCTTCCAAATATTCTGCCAAGCAAATAGAAATAAGCATTTTCTAGATCAGGTGCGGAGCACTCCCCGGTTTGGTTCTGATTGCTGCCCCCAAGGGCAGCCGAGCGATGTTACGCAAGCAACCCAGAGCTGTCGAGGGTACTTTTGGGTTGCTTGAAAAGTCAAGGGACAGAAAAAATGGGAGGCCCTTGGGAACCTTATTTTCAACGCGCAGTGTTCTTCTCATCTTCCATCCGGCGCCTGCCCAACAGGAGTTATTTTTGGCTCCGAATCAAGTGGCCCGTCTGGTTCAAACGCATTTCACCCAAACCTTGGAACCCTTAACCATTGCTGAGGCTGACGGCCGCTCTGCACTTTCTCCTGGGCGGGAAAGCGCGGAAGCATGCCTGTCGACACCTGCCCCTTCAAAACTAAAGGCTGTCCTCTGTAAGGCTCGAAACATTCCCAAGACACATGGGTGTGGGTCAAGATTAAACCACTAGGCGACCGCAGGTTTTAGTCCATGTTTCCACTTACCAAGGTTTCAATTTGGGTATCTATTTTTGACCCACAGCCACATATTCTACGTCAAAACCTGTGACCCCTTTCGGGATCATGTTTGAAACAGCATGACGCCGCGCTGAAACAGCAGCCACTTGACTCGCCCCTTCGCAAAATCAGCCCGTAACATCTCACGTTGAGCAAACCAAACCAACAGCGTGTGCAATCAAAAAGTACACACCCACGTATCATAACTCCACACCAGGGAACCACCCACATGGAACCCCAAGAGCCCCCGCAAAGAAGGCTCCTTTGGAGGGAAGGATCTTCCATGCTCTTTTCGTGGAGATTGCCGTTCCATCTTTTGCACTGAGATGGAGCGTTTTCAACCTAAGCATCACTCCATAAAAAGGAAGCTCACCGCCACATTGGCCCAACACGTGCTTCAAAATCACAAAGGGGAAGTTAAAGGCACTTTGTAAAGAGGTTGGGCTGCGATCCCTTTGCAGGAAGCGAGACGCGGGACTACAAAAACCGTCGGGTCAGACAGAAAGTGGAGAAGGGATTCCGGGTTGGGCCGACCTGTTCAAACATGCTGTACACCAGTGCTTAAATACAAACTCAAGCCAGGGCGTGTCTAATGTGCACCCAAAATGAGGGTCGTGTGAACGAAAGTGGATGAAGGCTGAGGCTGCGTTTTGATTGCGCGCCCCAAAAATCAAAGAGCGCCCAAAAATCGAATTTTGTCTTGCTGATGGACCACACAACTCCGCAGGTTTAGGTTGCTGGAACCTCGGATAGGAAGAGGATACACCACCTACCTGGCGCGCGTCCACAGATCCGCCCGAGAGGCCCCGACGATGCACTTCCGGCTCTCGGGACTCCGCCTGGTCGCCGAAGCATCTCTGGTCTCAGCTTCCCCCGGCTTTTTCGGTGGTTTGGATGGGTAAGGAGGGGGTTCCGCATTTACCCTGCAGAAGACCCAGGGGTTCAAATCCGAATCCAAACCACCGAGTAAGGGAAACCTGATGATATGTTGTCTTCTAACTTCATGAGTGGACTGGCCCCAAAAGAGCGACCCAACTTGGTTGTTGGCCACTAAAATGGTCCTCCCAAAGAGTTCAAAGTCCGTAAACTCAGGGAGTGAGTTGTCCCTTCAATTTCAGGCAAGAGCTTGGGAGACGCACAATTCACAGTCAATGACATCGTCAGGGAAAGGTCTACTGGATTAGAGTTCATCCGCCATGGCTTCAGCCTCATCCCCCTGACATGGAACCTGTGGGGAGGTACCTGGAAGATCAATCTCCTCTTAACAGGGCTCCCTATATTTCCCCTTAAAACATCACCTCCACCAAGGGCTACTCACCTTTCATGGACCAAAAAGGTGATGTTTAAAACCACCAAAAAGGGAAATATAGGGACCCCTGTCTTAAGGGACCCCCTGTCAGGTGCATGTTAGTGGGAAGGAGTGTATCCAAAGCAATCTTTGCGTGGTAAGTATTCCCTCGCGGTAACCCCAAATGCCTTTCCCCCAACAGTTGTGTTCCTCTGCACATAGTTCTTTTGTTCCATGCCACGACAAATAAACTCGAAAAAAAAACGATATCGTTACAACTAAGGGTCATGGGAGACTTAGTGCCTGCCATGTGTATATATATATATATACACCTATGTGTGAGCGCACATCGTCCCAAAGGCTGACATCAAAGCTGTGTACTGCCATTCCAGTGCATCGGTATCCATGTAAACTGTTCTTGCCGCTGGAATGTTGGAACAGAACATGTCAGGGAATAACCCTGGTAAACGAAATGGCCTCGCCACAAAGTCTACACTTTGTATCTGACTTGCACTGTATACTCAGCTTCCCTCTAATTGGTGATTTGTTTTTTGGGCTTGGTGGTGTTCTGAGGCGGTTTCGCATTACCCACAAGAACCAGCACCAGTCCAAACCGCCAATCCAAGGGAATCTGAAAACTGATTGCCAACAAAAATCAAGTCGAACTCACGGGACCCCTTTCACTAGGCGCACGTTCCAGCCGCACCGATGTAGGTCTACTAGGTCGCCAAAGGCCCAAAGGCCCAAAAACATTGACCCTTTGACCTTTTGGGTGTTCCGGTTTTGGCCCACATTCATTCAAGGCCACAAAAGGTCTACCGTGTATTTCCAGGTCCCTTTGGGCAAGTGAAGTCTTTTCAGGCTTGAAATTTGATTCTGTTACAATTTCTTGACTGCCATTGGGTTTGATACTTTAATCCCAACCAGCAGAAAGGATTTCGAAAGAAGATAGCCACATAGTTCTTCGTCACCCGAGAAAAACCATCTGGTGGGCAAAAAACCCGCCGAAAAGACAACACCATCTGGTGGGCAAAAAAGGCACGGTGCTATTTGGCTGTGGCTCAAAAAACCGGCAATTACCCAAAAAAAAAACCTGGTAAGTGGAAACATGGACCAAAACCTGCGTAACCCCTCCTCTTTAATTTTGAGCCACACCCATTTGGGAAAGGCGAAGTTCCGGTGGACTTCAGCGGGTACGCGGAAGTTTCCGTCCGTCGCCTCTCCATCCGAGTCTGCCGGGAGTACGGCACACCTCCATGGCCCCGAGTTCCTAAGCGGATGGCGTAGGGAGTGCATGTCTTGTATATAAATATTTATAAAAATATCCAACTCTTGTTGCAAGAAAAAACAAAAACAAAAAACGAGCATATAATAGAAATACCCAACTCTTGTTGCAAGAAAAACAAAACAAACGCGAGCATATAATAGAAAGACCCAACTCTTGTTGTAAGAAAACAACAACAACAAAAAACGAGCATATAATAGAAAGACCCAACTCTTGTTGCTGGAAAAACAACAAAAACAAGCATAGAATAGAAAAACCCAACTCTTGTTGCAAGAAAAACAACAACACGAGCATATAATAGAAAAAACCCAAGTCTTGTTGCAAGAAAAAACAAACACGAACATATAATAGAAATACCCAACTCTTGTTGCAAGAAAAAAACAAAACGAGCATATAATACAAAGTCCCAGCTTTGTTTGACTATATTCTTTGAGAGCAATGGTCTTTGCGAGTATTTGCTTAAGAAGAAGCAATGGTTCTGGGAATGCCACTGTGATACTAATGGAATGTCTTCTCAATTAGGGAGGTTCCCGAGTATCTTGATGGGAGCTAACCAGGTAGTGGGCCGTGAGAGAGGTGCTCAGCAACTCAGCACCAACACTAAGCAGGTTGGTAGGGGGAGCGGGTTAAATGGGATTCCCGAACTTGGGCAGGAAACAAGAGATATCCTCTAAGATTGGTTCGCTTGCACAAAATGAGGAACCAAACGGCAGGCTGAGCTCAGGAAATTCACCCCATTTCCAACATCCACTTCCTGGGGGGGTAGCCTCTTTCGCTAGCCCAGAACGCCAGAAGCAAAGACAGCGGCCCAAGGTTGTCTTTTGCCGCGAGGAAAATCAGAGATCAGCTTACCCATGGCCCCACAATGCAACCATGGAGGTGGACCCCAGTATTCCACCAGCGCTGCCAATCTACCTGCAGGAAGGCAAGCCAAATCAAAGGACCTTCATGGGCGAGCTTGCTCTTTATGTGAGCTCGCTCTCCAACTGCCATGACTCGGTGCCACAGCCACAGCGCCGAGCGGCAAATTGGAAGGAAAAATGCCGCATCCGACCTGGCCGCCAGCAAACTGGTTCGGCAAGGAGGTCACAAGTTGATCACGCCTCTGCAATATGTTAGGGTATGAATGTGGATTCTGGGATGTATGCCCACATAAAGGGTTGCGCGTGCGGAAGGTTTGCGCCACGAATTCCCCTGAACAATGCTATGTAGTGGTTGTAGTCAGCCAAGCTTGCATGATCCCAGTTAACCTGACAGCATGCTGATACCCTTTGAACAAGGTGGTACGCTGGTACAATGTTACAACAACAATCCTGCCACAGCATCTGAATGAACTATGCAAGTTCAGCATGCACAGCCTAGTTCCAAGGATCAAACCAACCTCACATCAAGCACTGCACAAACAACAAATGCTGTCTGAGGTGCTTCTTGCCACAAAGGGCTGTATGCTGGAATGCGTGCAACGGGAAAACTTCTCCTTGGAAGTAGCTGGGAGCGTCATCTCCGTCCAACAGTAACTAACACTACGTTATTCTTGGGAAAACACCGCTACCTGTCTCAATGCTTGGTGCAAAAAGGCCTACATTTCGCAACCAGGGTCGACAGCCTGCTTAGCATGTTGGAGCCCTTTCCTTCAAAGTAAAACTCAGAGTTGGCGGCCAAACTCCGTCGCCCACCCAAGCAGCTCCTTTCTTGCCACCTTGCGCCCTCAACCGCCCCCCTTGCCTCAGGAGCCCCTCGGGGTGTGCCAGCGCCGCATAGGCAAACCTCGCGAGTCGCGGAAGCAAAGGCCTGAGTCATATTGGTATTCATGCATACTCAACCTGCTTGTTTGTTCGTTCCTTCCTGACGGCTCCCAATTTGGTGAAAACTGCCAACCACTCGGTTACCGCTGGCTGGAAGTAAATCGCACAATTCCTCCAAAATGGTTCACCTACTTCACCAGCTTCGAGGGGTAAAGGTCTCCAACTCTATTTTGAGGATTAACTGGATGGAATTCCAGGAGTTGTTCCCCCTCCCCACCAAAGCTGACTTTCTTCTGCCCGCCACCTCCTTTTGCACACATCCACCTCCAAGAGCAACGCCCATATGTGTTGCACTACATCGGGCATTCTAAAAAGGGCGGCGCTGGCCCAAACCGCCTCACCTGCCCTCACCTGCTTCCTGCATGCAACCTCAACAAAAAAAAAAAGGAGATAAAGCGCCGCACCGCTGCAAGTATGTGTATATATATATATATGTATATAGCATTGTCTACTTGCCAGGATTGACCAGACTCAACCCACTGATCCCAGTGCCAGGGTTTGGACCTAGGTGGCATCCCCAACCGCCCCGGCAGTTTCTGGATGCTTTCGGACGGGACACAACTCGCTGTCACCGTTCCGTCTGATTGAAGAAACCGCCCCGACTCTGAAGACAATGGCAAACTTGCGGTGACTGAGCCAGGCACGCCCAGATTGCGACCAGCTCCTGTGCGTCTGTCGGACAGGCTTGGGCTTGTGTCTGGCGAGCACAGCGCAGAGGTCCAATGCCAGGGCCAGAGGTCCCAAACAGGCCAAATTTGGGGGACCCCCGTCCTCCCGCATGGAACCGAAAGCCCACTAAAGAGCAACGCAATCTTCCAGCTACACTTGCTGATGCTGTGGATGGACGAAATCCTGCACCACCTAAGAAACCCTGGTTTCTGATGATTCACCTGTAAATACCAACAAACAACGGTTTCAACCATGGTTTCATTTCGTGGTGCGAAATGGATTTTGTCCATCAGTAGCAACACTAGTTGCCACACACCTCCCCACAAACATAACACCCGCCGTGGGAGGGTACCGCGAACCCTGCCAGCTGCCATTCTAGCGTTGCCGAGGCAGGTGAACGGTTCGAGCTGTGCAGCACATGTCAAACCAAGGGCAACCAACAAAGCCTTGCGAAGAACACTGGGTGGGTCTGGGAAAAGTAACTACCGCAAACTCCTGGAACATAACAAATTGCTGTACATGCCCCTTCCCATGTGCGTTTCTGCTGGCAGACATGTGTAAACAAATAACTGTTTGGGGATATGTAGCACTCAAATCTGCTCGCTAAGTGCCCCACGCCGGACGTTGCCCTCTGACCGGCCCTGCATCAGCGGCCTACGTGGCTAGAGTTTGGGTCTGCATCCATGAGCCGCCTGAAGGTCTTAGAAAAACCTTAGGGCCTAAGTGAAGCTTTTTTGAAGGGTCCCTGGGGGGGTGGGCTTGGGTTGTCATACTCCAAAGAAACATATGGGGTCTTAAGGTTGGTTTGTTGGTAGTTCCATGTAGCGGTGATCATTTCCACCGGCCCCCGGTGCACCCAAAGGGAGGCATCGAATGGCGGGTGTCTGTAGGGGCGGGGCAGTGGGGGGTAGGCTATGAATTCATCACGCGGAGTTTGTAATGCAACCACCGCCCCTTGAGAAAAGCTGGCGGGAGGGGGTGGTTGAGGTATCTGAGCTTCCCCCAATGCGACCCCAAAGTGTTTTGGAAAACGAGCGCCAAAAGAGCGGAGCGCGGCAAAAGGAAACCAGATCTACCAGCTTCATTCCACATCCCCGCTTCCATGTTGGGATGTTTGGGGCCTGGAAACTGGACATGGCGGGCCAAAGAACGGCTTCCGCTGTTCAAAGCCCCCTACTGAGAATGGCTTACCCTGGTCAATGAAACCATGGGCACACCATCAGGTCCTGGACAAATTGCCATCACTCCCATATTGGAAAAAGGAATCCCGAAGTTATTCGGAGACCCTCAGCTCGTGTTGCCGATTCGATCCCGAGGCCAGCGCCCAAAGCAGTGCCACCTCCGCGCCATAGCGGGTTGGCCCGAAATGAGCTAAATCTCCGGGGCTTGGACAACGGATTTGGGGTTCGTCCTGTTTTTTGGACCCCCAAAAGATGTGGTTTTGCTGCGGGTGTCCATTTAAAACACCGGAAAAGGGGGTTCCTCCAAAAAAGACACAACCAAATGAATATTTTGACTTCCATCGCTGGAGGTTCACTTCGAATGCTAGGCCACCAAGTCTCTGCGAAGCTACATTGCGCTTCAGCGGTTTGAAGAAGCCCCGTATTGCCATGATTTGCCAGCGCCCAGAGCTGGCCCGCAATGAGAAACGCCTAGAGTTGCTCAACAAAACTAGGGCTTCAGTGAGGGAACATATGCGATCCAAAGACTTGTCACTTAGCGGCATAAGGCATAGTCCAGCCATCAAAACCATGGCATCAGCGGGAGCCTTGAAGCCTGAACCTTAGCCCCCTCCACATAATTAACTTGGACGCCTTGCTTAAAACAAAAGATGGGTATGTTGGTAGATAAGCCAAGCTGCACCCAAGCAAAAGCGTAGAGGTCCAATTACGCGTGAGGCCGAGTGCTCCACGAGCCCCCCAGCCCCCAGAGCGCCCCCGCGCTCTAGACAATGACGCCGCATCCTCGGGTGGTCAACAGGCGGGGCCAATTTTTGGAAGACGATCAAAGAAAGGGGAAGCCAAGCATAATCATTGCATAGTCAAACACAAGCTGGCGCCAAAAAGCCGTGTTCGATTCTGGCCGGAACAAGAATGGCATTTCTGCCGGTGCACGTAGTCAAAACTATATACGCAAAGCGTCAACGTCCCTCTGCGTGTCAAATGGCACAGCGATGCCATTGAGATTGACGTCTGTGTCCTGCAAGCGGTCATCTTTTTCCGGGATCAAGCTGGACACAACTGTGTTCATTGTGTAATCTGGATCATTTAAATTAGTAATGCGATTTCGCGGCGGATCTTTGGCTCGTTGTTGTTATGCAAAGTGCAAACATAAGGGGAGATCGATCTACGTCACGCGGTTGGCGGTTGGCCCAGAAACGCTTGAGTTGGCGTTTCTAATTGCGCCGGGCAACAAAGCACTCAAAGTTTGAGAACCAAGTTGCGTGTCTCAAGTCTTGAGAGCCAGTCTTCTCAGGGCTCACTGGATTTCCCCGTCAAAGTTGATCAATTCACAAGGGAATTCCATTGAAACGTCACCACTTTTGGAGAAAACGTTTGGCCAAGCCCAGGTGTTTCAAAATGAACCTCAAGGTGTGTTTTCGCCACTGCGACAATGGGGGCCGATTCCTCTGTGCAGTTGTTTCCTTTATGTGGGAAAACAAGAGACTCAACATCCAAAAGGAAAAGGACATCTTTTAGGGGGCGCACTCATAGTTCGGACTGTCCCTTACACTTCATTTCAATATAGGGCAAAGGCTGCCGTACCAGAACTCCCCCCCCTGGGGGCGGCAAGCCCGCAATGGCGAGTGAAGCTCCTGGTCTTCCATGGCATGGCGTTTAAGCTGAGCCGGAGCCGGCAAGGCGCATGGAGCGAGGTGCGAAGATCAAGGAAAATGACGATGCGCGCGTAGTATGTGTGTGTGTGTGTGTGTTCATGTATAATATCTATATTCATCTCTATATATATAAATATATGTGCAAGTACCTCTTCTACCTGGCAGTTTTGGATGTCCGAATTTCGTTCGAATGGTCAAGTTCACCTTCCCAGCAAGTAGGATCCCAATCAACTGCGGGCTTTACACAAATGAGTAAGGCCTTAAAATCTTTAGTCACGTTGCCCCTTGGTGATTCACTTGCTTCTACGAGCTGCAGCACTGCTAAGCTGCTAGCAAGATCTAGGCATAAATTGGCATAAATAAGAAAATGACAAAAAAGCAAAAAAAAAAAAAAAGAGACACGAACAACTGCAACTTGGGAGAGATGGGGATGCCAACCTCGTTGACTCGAGACATGTGAAACGGCCAGGTTCCCAAGCCACGTGGAGCGGCAGTGCCAAGTGGTCCGAAGGTATCTTTGAATAGCCATTCGTGCCTTTTCAAATGTCTTTTCAGTGATTTGTTCTGATTCACAGCTGCGAAAAATCCACAAAAAGCAGGTTGAGAGTATGATCAGAACAAAGGAGTTTTATGCAGTTGGGTTCATCATCAGGCACTGATCCATTGATGTGGGCATGCTGAGGCCTTGTGCTTCTGGGAACAAGTTGAGGTTCTGGAAACGTCTTGGGACAAAGTTGTGAACAAGGTTGGGACAAAGGTTGGGAAAAGTTGGAAAAAGGTTTGGAAAATAAAAGTTGGGGAAAGGTTAAAAACATGTTGGGAAACAGTTGGCAAAAGGTTGGGGAAAAAAGGTCGGGCAAAAAAGGTCGGGAAAAAGTTGGGGAAAAAACAGGGAAAGGTTGGGAGAAAGTTGTGAACAAAATTGGGAAAAGGTTGAAACAAATTGGGAACAAGTTGGGACAAGTTGGGTAGTTGTTGAGAACAGGGGAACATTTGGGACGAGTTGAGAAACGCGTGGAAAAAGTTGGGAAACGGTTGCGAACAAGTTGGGATGAAAATCAAAATCGATAATAGATTACATATTCGATTATATTATAAATAAATATATATATATATATATATTAATAATATATATAAAGAAAACATTTTACTATAAAGAAACTATTTTGTTAAAATTATAATATTATTATTTTAAATTCACCTGATGCTGCAAAGACTCTTCTTTATGAGTGGAAAACCAGCTGCTGCGAGGGCCTTGCAGGGCCTTGCAGGGCTGGCACTGTGCGTTTTTGTTTTGGGGGGGCCCAGGTCTTCGCAGGGATTTTCCAGGGATATTCAGGATCATGTAGCTTTTCGTGGGGATTGCATGGCTTCTTGTGTTTTTCTCCGGTTTGTTGTGCCTAAAAACAGTTTCCAAAGAGATCTTTCTTGAAACGGTATGACTGGTGCGCCTTTGAAGGTAGTTTTGGCCGGTGTTGGGGTCGAGCAGCTCAACCTCCTGTCCAATTCCTTGACTTTTGGCACCAAATGATTCTTGCAATTCGCGCCTCACGCATGGCAATTGACTGCTGCAACCGCCTGTGCACAGCACTTGGGTGAAACTCGCGTTGCGCTTTGCATTTGGCAAATTTGTCATCTCTGATGCAAATGCTCCCAGAGCCCCTTTGGAACCAACACCAAGGTTTGCATAGTACAACTTCCAGAGTACTTGTGGGCCTCGCGGGGTTCTGGGCGAAGGCCACTTGGGCTCCCTAATCTTCATTTCAGGCATTTTAGGCATTAGCAGTCTCCCAGCCACATGGCACCTGAGTCTTGTATAACTTTCACTTCCTTGCTGGATCCCTGGCTCCATGTGCGGAAGCGCAGTTGCAGCCCTTGAATTCGGAGATTCTTCCCATCCCCTGGCCTGGCAAAGAAAACCGATCTCGGCAGCCGGCCAACCAGAGATCTCGAGCATGGAAACGCAAGGGGTTTTGCGTTGGTACATTTTAGAGTCGGTCACCCGTCCAAAAATAGGAAAACGAGTGCTAAAGCACTTGTGTGTGTGTGTGTGTGTGTTTCTGTGTCTGTCTGTCTGTCTGGCTGTGTGTGTGTGTGTGTTTGTGTGTGTGTGTGTGTGTCTGTCTGTGCGTGTGTGTGCGGGTGTGTCTGTGTCTGTGTGTCTGTGTGTGTGTGTGTGTCTGTGTGTGTGTGTGTGTGTCTGTGTCTGTGTCTGTGTGTGTGTGTGTGTGTGTGTGAATGTGTGAATGTGTGTGTGTGTGTGTGTGTGTGTGTGTGTGTGTGTGTGTGTGTGTGTGTGTGTGTGTGTGTGTGTGTGTGTGTGTGTGTGTGTGTGTCTGTGTGTGTGTGTGTCTGTGTGTGTGTGTGTGTGTGTGTGTGCGCGCGTGTCTGTGTGTGTGTGTGCTGTGTGTCTGTGTGTCTGTGTGTCTGTGTGTCTGTGTGTCTGTGTGTCTGTGTGTCTGTGTGTCTGTGTGTCTGTGTGTCTGTGTGTCTGTGTGTCTGTGTCTGTGTCTGTGTCTGTGTCTGTCTGTGTCTCTGTGTGTCTCTGTGTGTCTGTGTGTGTCGTGTCTCTGTGTGTCTCTGTGTGGCTCTGTGTGTCTCTGTGTGTCTCTGTGTGTCTCTGTGTGTCTCTGTGTGTCTCTGTGTGTCTCTGTGTGTCTGTGCTGTCTGTGTGTGTGTGTCTGTTTGTGTCTCTGTGTGTGTGTCTGTGTGTGTCTCTGTGTGTGTCTGTGTGTGTCTCTGTGTGTCTCTGTGTGTGTGTCTCTGTGTGTCTCTGTGTGTCTCTGTGTGTCTGTGTGTGTGTGTGTGTCTGTGTCTCTGTGTGTGTGTCTGGTCTCTGTGTGTCTCTGTGTGTCTCTGTGTGTCTCTGTGTGTCTGTGTCTGTCTGTGTGTGTGTGTCTGTGTCTCCGTGTGTGTGTGTGTGTGTCTGTGTGTGTCTCTGTGTGTCGGTGTGTCTCTGTGTCCGTGTCTGCGTCTGTATGTTTGTGTGTGCGCGTGTCTGTGTGTGTGTCTCTGCGTGTCTGTGTGCGTCTCTGCGTGTGTCTGTGTGTGTGTGTCTGTGTGTGTGTGTCTGTGTGTCTGTGTGTGTCTGTGTGTGTCTGTGTCTCTCTGTGTGTGTCTGTGCGTGTCTCTGTGTGTGTGTCTGTGCGTCTCTGTGTGTGTGTCTGTGTGTTTCTGTGTGTGTCTGTGTCTCTGTGTGTGGTGTGTGTCTGTAGCTCTGTGTCTCTGTGTGTGTGTGTGTCTCTGTGTGTGTGTCTGTGTGTGTGTGTCTCAGTGTGTGTCTGTGTCTCTGTGTGTGTGTCTGTGTCTCTGTGTGTGTGTGTGTCTGTGTGTCTCTGTGTCTCTGTGTGTGTGTCTGTGTCTGTGTGTGTGTGTGTCTGTGTCTCTGTGTGTGTGTGTGTCTGTGTGTCTGTGCGTCTGTGTCTCTGTGTGTGTGTCTGTGTGTGTGTGTCAGTGTGTGTCTGTGTGTGTCGCTGTGTGTCTGTGTGTGTCTGTGTGTGTCTCTGTGTGTGTGTGTGTCGTGTGTCTGTGTGTGTGTCTGTGTGTCTCTGTGTGTGTCTGTGTCTCTGTGTGTCTGTGTCTGTGTGTGTGTGTGTCAGTGTGTGTCAGTGTGTGTCTCTGTGTGTCTGTGTGTGTCTCTGTGTGTGTCTGTGTGTGTGTGTGTCTGTGTGTGTGTCTCTGTGTGTGTGTGTCTGTGTCTCTGTGTGTGTGTCTGCGTGTGTCTCTGCGTGTATGTGTCTGTGTGTCTGTGTGTGTGTCTGTGTGTGTGTCTCTGTGTGTGTGTCTCTGTGTGTGTGTGTGTCTGTGTGTGTGTGTCTGTGTGTGTCTCTGTGTGTCTCTTTGTGTGTGTGTCTGTGTGTGTCTGTGTGTGTGTCTCTGTGTGTGTGTGTGTCTGTGTGTCTGTGTGTGTGTCTGTGTCTCTGTGTGTGTGTGTGTCTGTGTCCTTGTGTGTGTTTGTGTCTGTGTGTCTCTGTGTCTGTGTGTGTGTCCGTGTCTGTGTGTGTGTGTGTGTCCGTGTGTGTGCTTGTGTGTGTGTCTGGGTGTCTCTGTGTGTGTGTGTCTGTGTCTCTGTGTGGGTGTGTCTCTGTGTGTCTCTGTGTGTGTGTGTGTCTGTGTCTCTGTGCGTGTGTGTCTCTGTGTGTGTGTGTCTGTGTCTCTGTGTGTGTCTGTGTGTCTCTGTGTCACTGTGTGTGTGTGTGTCTGTGTGTGTCTCTGTGTGCGTGTGTGTCTGTGTGTCTGTGTGTGTCTGTATGTGTCTGCGTGTGTCTCTGTGTGTGTGTCTGTGTCTCTGTGTGTGTGTGTGTGTGTCTGTGTGTCTGTGTCTCTGTGTGTGTGTGTGTGTCTGTGTGTCTGTGTGTGTCTGTGTGTGTCTCTGTGTGTGTGTGTGTGTGTTTGTGTGTGTCTGTGTGTGTGTGTGTCTGTGTGTGTCTGTGTGTGTGTGTCTGTGTGTGTGTCTGTGTGTGTCTGTGTGTCTCTGTGTGTGTCTGTCTGTGTGTGTCTGTGTGTGTCTCTGTGTGTGTGTGTGTCTGTGTGTCTCTGTGTGTGTGTGTGTGTGTGTCTGTGTCTCTGTGTGTGTGTGTGTCTGTGTCTCTGTGTGTGCGTGTGTCTGTGTGTCTCTGTGTGTGTGTCTGTGTCTCTGTGTGTGTGTGTGTCTGTGTCTGTGTCTCTGTGTGTGTGTGTCTCTGCGCGTGTGTGTGTGTGTGTGTGTCCCTGTGTGTGTCTGTTTGTGTGTTTGTGTTTCTCTGTGTCTGCGTCTCTGTGTCTCTGTGTGTGTCTGTGTGTCTCTGTGTGTGTGTGTGTGTCTGTGTGTGTGTGTGTGTCTGTGTGTGTCTCTGTGTGTGTGTGTGTTTGTGTGTGTCTGTGTGTGTGTGTCTGTGTGTGTCTGTGTCTCTGTTTGTGTGTTTGTGTGTCTCTGTGTGTGTCTCTGTGTCTCTGTGTGTGTCTGTGTGTCTCTGTGTGTGTGTGTGTCTGTGTGTCTGTCTGTGTCTCTGTGTCTCTCTGTGTGTTGTATGGACTCACTCAAATTGTGGTTTTCGTTTTGGCCGCCCTTTGAGAACGCGAAGAACAGGCACAGCGAAGGATGAGTCTCCCTAGCTACAGCAAGCCCCGGCCATCTTCCTCTCAGCGGGCTGCGGACCACAGAGTCTTAGGACGATTCGGCACGCACAAGAAATGGCACCTGCAACTCCAGGCATATTCACTGATATATACAACCATGTACAGTACATATCAATATGTATATATATATATATATGTGTGTGTGTGCATTCCCAACCAACCTGGAAATTACATGAAATTAGCAAATGAAGCAATACCATGGGTCTGCATTTGGGGGTCGCGTACGAACCAGGGAAGAAAGAGCACTCAAATATGTCCCTTGGGTCGTTCCATTGACTTAAAGGCAGCCACTGTTAAACAAGTTCCTTGGGGTGAGTGATGCTGGAAGGGGACATCAGGCATGTTCGAAAATATTCTTGTTTCAGCGCTTTGTGTGTCCTGACAATTCTCAATAGTTTACAAGTATTGCGGGAATACAAAAGGGAACCCTGCAAACGTTTCGGGCTCTGCAATCTTCATTGGTGATCTACAGGTTTCGGCTTGTGCATGTGGAACGGCGACCAGCTCCTGAAGTTGTGAAGGCACCACATGCCCTGGTATTGTGAAATATGCTCATCCCCTTATCAAAAACCTGACAATTTCGCCAGAAAGTGACGCTGAAAATGGAGCGCCCCGTGGGTTCCATTCACATGAGACATGGAACTTCCGGTTCGTCAGCTGCGCCCTTCAGGGTCCGCTTTTAAGGGTCGTTTTCTTCTCAAATTCCCTTCTCCATCTGCGCCTATACCCTATACTCAGAGGTGTGGAGCTGACAAGTAGCATTGTTGCAGGTTAGGGCGGTCCAGCACCAGTGTGGCTTCAGTGGCTAGAACGCAGGTAGAAAGCCAAGCAACAACGGACAAGTCAATAAATCCTACAAATTCGCCCCCTCAATCCCTGAGGGGTGGGTTTCCCAGACTTTCCTGAGCCCCAGGAACCTCTTTTGAGGGACCTCAGTACAAATTCGCTTGCTAAAAGTGGGTTGACCAGTAAAAAAGCCAAACAAGGAAAGCCATACAAACTCCCTCTCCGTGGTTTTCAAAAAGCCCTTCCAAGAATACAAGCACTCATCTTCCCACTTGATGTCCCAAGCTTAAAGCCTTTTTGGATCCAACCCCACTGGCCGTCGAGGACTCCGCTGCGAGTGGCCGTGCCCACGCGCGAGGCGGTGCCGGCCACCGAGGTCTTGGACCGCTCCTTGAGCAGCGCCAGGGACCTCAGCAGCGCCTCCTTCTCCGAGCTGATCTGCTGGGCCTCGAGGCCGAAAAATGGGCCGATCGATCGGGTCAGAGGCTTGGGTCCGGCTTTTTCGTTTTGGGGGGGGGGGGGGTATAAAGGAAAACAACAGGGTCCAACTCTTCTTCTTTTTCTTGGGGGGGGGGTTGCCCGTTTTGGGGGTGGGTTTGGGATTGAAACCAAGAGGAGACCCTCCATTTTGGGTGGGTTCCTCTATGTTGAGACCGACCCAAAAACGGGACCGCGCGTTGAAATCGCGGATACATCCCATCCAATCCCGAGGCCTCCAGAAAAAAAAGAAAAAGAAAAAAAACCTACGGGGAAGGGGGGGGGGGTGGGAGCGAATGAGCTCAGCTTCGCCCAGGGATTTCTGGACCACGATCCCAGCTTCAGGGATGGTGACCGGATCCACATAGAAATCCTGACTTTCGCTTGAGCTTGGAGGGGCTGAGCTTCATTGTGGGAGTACGCCATATTAGTAGCTAATATTGCTCCCTCATATTACCCACGAGCCACCATGATAGGCGTCCTTTTTGGAAAAATAGATGGCGTTGGTAGTTGATTGAACCACCAGGTAAACCAGGGCCCTCTATCTTTAAACCGAATCAACCAAAAAGGACACCTAGGGCCACCACGATTTTAGATGGATGACTTGTCCATCTGGAGTGGCCGATCATCGCCATGGGGCGATAACGCCCAAATGGGGGAAGCCTCCCGAAAAAGGACGAGCATGCCTTTGGCGCCCCTTTTTTTCAGTGAGCCTCTCATATGACACCTGGTCAATGAGTTTACGAGTTTACCCCTGCTCCACCCACAAGCATGGCGCCTCATTGCGGATTCCTGAAAAAAAAACAACATTTTCTCTGGCAATAGAAGTGTCTCAGGGGCGTATCAACCATTATGCTGTGCTTGATGGGCAACTTACGAGCCAAACAAATGTACCAGCAAGGTTTTGGCCAGCCCCTTGTTTAAATGCAACACCCGCAGGGTTCCAAACCACGCGACGTGTACAATCAACCGCCTGCGGCTTTCTGCCCCCCTGAGAGACCAAGTGGTGAACCACACTGGCGATGAAGAGGAAGGAAACCACACACAAAATCAGGAAGGCTATCTCCTTTTGGGGAAAGGGCATTTTTCTTGTCGGCCCTTCGCACACCAAAAAAAAAGAAAGAAACCGCCGAGCGAACGAGCTCGGTCCCGTAACTCGGTCTATGGGCTTGCGGCTGACGGCTTGCCTGCCTTGGCCGAAAAGTGGCCAGCCCGGTGGCCCGGCCCCTTGCACCCAAAAACAAACCGAACGCAGTACTCCAGGCCAGGTTTGATTGAGCAATCAGGACCCTAAAGAAAGAACCATGCACCTGTTCGGTAAGGTAAAACAAGTAATTACCGCGGCCTACTGTATACTAGAAGCACAACGGCACAGAGCCCCCAAAAGAATCTTCGTAAGCGTGGCGGGTGTTGGGTGCCATATTTATCTGCAGTAATTTCTTCAAATGGAGGCTTCCTGGTAACGAGGTGTGACCCACCATGCAAGAGCGTTTGTTCAGGTTCTGTGTCGATTTGCCAGGCAGGCCTGGTGGGCATACTCCAGCGCGATATCGTGCGCACGTTCCTGTCCGGACATGAACTTGAGCAGCCGGGGTGGAGTGAGTGCTGTCCTTTTGGTTTCCCTATTGCAAACCGGTTGGAAGTTGTTGTTGGGCTTGCTGGCCCATGACTGACAGTTCGCCTCAAAGAGGGCTTGTTGCACCTGATTACATAGTTACAACTTACCGCCCCATTCGTTTTGTCCGGAAAACAATGGCACACCGTTAAACGGGTAAGCCAAGTCTGGCAAATTTTTGACCCACCCACCTTGCTAGACATCCAACATCTCTCCCTACAAGGTCTGCAGCCCGCGGATGACCTGTTGCAAAAACAGAACAAACAGAGCAGTCTCTCAACAAACACCTTTTTTGGCAATAGACCATGCACCCTCCCTCCACCAGCCCTTCAAAAGGAAATTGAGCTGCCAGCAACCCTCCTGCACCGTTCTGGCTCATTGGTCTGATGCATACCCCGAATGAAGACCGGCTGACGGATCCATCTTCCCAGCAATACGCCGGCCCAGGTATGGCTAGCCCATACCCCATGATGAGCACGACCCCAGCCCAAATTGGAAAGAAAGGGCATCACTTTCGAACACGCACGGAGCAGAAGTGTAATAGCCTTGCAGCTTCTACACCAAAAAGAACAAACTGAGATATGGCTGTGGGTCAAAACCAATGGGATCCCATTTTGGGGGTTTCGTTGCACCACCCATTTTAGAACCTATTTTAAAGGTTGGATTGGTTGATGTTCACTGGGGGTACGGGCTTTGGATTTTGACCCATGGCCCCTTTTGCCTTGTTACATGGCCATTGTCTCACTGGCTGACTGGATGGCTCAGCAAAAGTTCAAACTTTATATTTACCACTGAAATGGTCTTCCCAAAAGGTTTAAAGTTCATGAACTCAGGAAGTGAGCCATAGCGCGGCCGCGGTGAAGCTCGACAACCCTCGGTTGCTTTCACGCAGATGCCGGCGCGGGATATTTGACCAAACCCCCCAGCCACAATCGGAGCCAGTCCAACATGGAAGGCCTGAAGCTCCAATTGTTTTCATCCAGCCCCCAAAAGGGATGCAAAAGGCATAAGACATACCGTCCTGCCCATGAAAGCGCACACAGATTCCGATTCCCTTTCCAGGATCATTGAGAAAATCTGTGCACTTCCATGTTGGGAGATGGAAGCCCCAAGAAGCCCATGAGCCATTCGCGGCCCAAGGCCTCTTCTTGCATGAACTTCTCCTTTTGGCGCTCCTTCTCCTTCAACCTCAGCTTGGAAAAATCAAATCGGGTGAAGGCGAGCCATTGGTGCAAAAACTAGCGTGGAATCCGACGCAAGGGGCTTCGCAAAGAGATTGCTCTGAAGAGATTCCGCTGAACGTGAGCTTCTTCTCGGTTGCTTTCTGCTCCCCTGCTAAAAGTTTAACTTTTAGTGGTTCAATGGAAAACCCATTAGTTGGCAAAAAGTTCAAGTCCTAACATCCAAGCAAAATGCAACCAAGTTTTAAGGGCTCCGTGTCAATCTGGGAGGGGGAACGATTCCATCAAATTCCATCCCAAGCCTGGATGTATTGGTATACCCCACACATGCACATCGTTCGGCGCACCATGTGCTCAATTCATCCAAGGGATGTTGAGAACAAGAATCCAGCGCAGTCATTGTATCCAACGGAGCCTTGATAGACTAGAGACATGACGGGATAAAACCTTGGGAGCAAACCCTGGATTACCCTCCCAACAACTCACTTCCTGAGTCGATGGGCTCAAAGAAGGTCCAAACTTTCTGTTTGCCACTAAAGGGGTCCACAATGGGTCCACACCCAAAAAGTTTTAAGTTCAGGAACTCACAAAGTGAGACAAACAAGTATTTGGGTGCACTCGGTCGCCTCCGTCCTTTAGTTGGAGGGTGGTCTTCCCCAAAGGTGGTGGAAGGGCCGAAGGATTGTTGGCGGGAGGGTGCAGAATCTGGCAAACCATCAATTGGTAGAAGGCAAGTTACGCATATGCAAGATCTCACCGCTGACCCAGGAAAGATCGAAATACTCATTACAACTGCTGCTTTCAAGAACAAGTTACTATTGCCATTGCCTGGCGCAGTCCTCAAGGAGCGAGCAAAGCATTTGTCGATGCCGGGAGTGGAATCATTCCAAGGCAAGTGCTTTCAACTTGACCCGTTGTGTTGTAACTATAGCCGCAAAGGAACTAATCATACGGGCATCCACCACATATGGCATTCTACTGCTACACTGGTTTCCCAACTCATGGCCCCTTGGGTGGAAAGATCCATCCCTTTTATGTGCCCAGGATATGCTATCGGCAACCTGAAGCCAAGCCAGAGACCTTCATGGCTTTCGCGTCTTTTCCCTTCGGATCGGTAAGCTCCTGCCCTGGACATGGTCAAGTAACTCACCTTCCGGGGGTTGACCTACGCTCCCGAAGACCGGATTCGCAAACGACATACCTGTTCTGTTTGTCTTTTGGGGGTCACAGACTCCCTCAGCTCACCTGTAGGGGCCACTAGAGCTTTCCCCCCTTCAAACTGATTGAAACTGCCACTTTTGGAGGCTCAACGAGCTTTGGCGAAAGTGAGCAAAGAACCCCGCAGGCAAGGTGGCTGTGTGTTGGGGTGCGCGCCAATTTGGGGTTCCTTGCCGGACGAAGCACAACTGATTCTAGTCCACACCTGGTGAACCTGATGTAAAACCGTTTGAACACTTGGTCCAGGGATATATCCAATATCCCAAGCCCCTCCAAACTCTGAATCTCACAACATCTGAGGCTATGGGAGATCTGCGGAGCTTCGAACCAAGAAAACCAACACCCAGCATCTTCTAGAGCGTAAATGATGCTACAACTACTCCCTAACCACCACCAATCCAAAACACCAACCTCAACCCTGGGCTGTCCTCAGATCCCCCGCTAAAAGTTTAAGCTTTAGCGGGGTAAATCCACTAAACACAAGGCTAAAAAGCTAAGGAACCGGATGGCTGGGAACCACCAAGGACCTGACGGCTTACCTGGCTGTGGCTCCAAAAACCGGAATTCCAAAACGGCTTGCCCTGGTAAGTGGAATGGACCAAAACCTGCGGTTTGCCCCTCCGATCCTTCAATTTTGGTTGCCACAGCCACCCAAAACTCCGCCCAGTTCCTTCGGGAAAACCGAGCGGCTCCTTGAGCTCTTCTTGCGCCTCCGCGGCCTCCTGAAGCAGCAGCCGGCGATCCGCTTCCAGCGCCCTCCTCAGACGTGAGAAAGCCACTGGGACCGGGCGGCCCCGCTCTTTTTTTTTGGTCATCGCTGCCGCGCGGCTAAAAGTGGACAACTCTTGGGGTGAATGGAAATCCCCCACGAAAGACACTAAGAAGACCAAAAAAAATCTGAGGAACCGGATGGGAACCACCAAGTTAAGTTGAGAGGTGGCTTGTCCCACACAGGCTTCATCTGTCTTGCTGGATTTTATCCACCTGACAAAAATGATGAGCAATCAACACCTGAGGCATCGGCTTCTGGAAGGGTCCCATGGTCGACATTGAGTTCAACCAGGATGTTGCTGACTGGCCACAAACAGTTAAATACATTAAGCTTGTTGGCCCGATAAAAGGACGAAACAACCAGCCCTAAATTTGCACCTTTTTCATATGGATAGCCTGTTGCTTCAGATTTGGTGGGAGGTTGGTCTTTCAACTCGGTGTGCGAGAGTCCGCTTTGCCTTGTGGAATGTCTGAGTGAACCTTTGGTTGTGAGGTGTGCTGGAACCTCCCTACAGAACCTCCCTGGCGATTCCGAAGCTCACAAGTTAATTGGGCAACCCCATATGATGTCCTAGATGGGTTCTGTCAAGCTTAATGGGTTCCTTTCCGATGCGTTTTTTGGCAGGTGATACCCTCCCGTCCACTAACATGAACCCACCAAAGGGTCCTACTTTTTTGGAAAACGGTCCAAACCTTTTCTACAGGTACCAAACGCGGTAATGCCCTGGTTGACAGGTGTCCTTTTGGGGAAAAAAAGACCGCCCCTGAAAAACCGGGTCAGCCAGGAACCGGATTTCATCGGTGAATGCCAAAACCAAGGACCCCCGGACCGGCACCGGCACTTCACCTCGAGCCATGTGCTCCAAGCGTCTGCAGCTCGATCCTCCACTTGGCGTTGTCCTGATCCTCCGCCAGCTGAACCTATCGGCGGCGACGCAAAAAAAAGAAGAAAAGAACAAAAGAAGGGCGCTTGGCCCTTGAAATCCCACACCAGCCAGCTGGTCAGGTCAAGGTTGCATTCTGCGGATGAGCTGGTTTCATTATGTGTGGGTCAGCTGAAGTGACAAAATCACCTAGGTTCACAATGACTGGTTTATGAAGATTGCGGTGCATCTTAAGATGAGGATGAGGCACTGATGGGTAAATCAGAGTCGTAAGTTGGGATTTAGATGGGGGTTCTCCGGAGCTAATGTGACTTGAAGCCTTCAGCTCGTCTTGAGTCCTTGAGGCTTCATGGGTACCTTGGTTCCTTGTCTTGTCAGCTGCTTAGGGTACGTGCTTTCTACAGTTGGCCTAAAGCCCAGGTTCAGAAGGCCCACTTTTGGCCCGTGCTAGGGCCCGGGGCTTTCCCCGACTCTGCCATGTTGGCATCAAAAGGATGCCGGCTCTGCCGGCAAATCACCGCGGGGGGGGGGGGGGGGGCCGCATCTCCAAAGAAACGTCATGAAGGTCCAACCAAGCTCCATGCGGTTGGGTAGTGAGAGAAAACCAGTTGATCTAGTGCACAGCACAGCTGAGAGCTGGTGTCAAGCCTTGATTCGCTCGATCTCCTCCTTTCTCTTGGCTTGCTTCCAGTCGCGCTTGAACTGCTGGTATTCCTGCAGAGCTGGTCGCTCTCGGTAAGCGAGTGGCAAAGCAACTAATCGTCAATCAAGTATCACCTGCATTTGAAAGACCGGCGGATCTCCACAAATTGCTTTGACGTTTATACGATCACCTTGGCGTCTGTAAAGGGCCTCCTCGCCCGAAGCACTGCTGGAATGCAGCAGCACAAACCTCTGGAGTCCTACCTTTGAAGTGTTCTATAGAATTACGTAAAATTGCAAATACTTTTGCACAAATACCCCAAGAGTGAATCCATCCATTTGCCTGTCCTTGGTGGTTTACTTCCTAAGCCAACACCTGGTGTACTCAGAAAACAGTGTGCATCTTATTCCGTCTGCCAAAAAGATTTGGGTGTGTCTTTTTGGGGGACCCCCACGAACCACCAAAAACGGAGCCCTCAAAAAGGGCACCAGTTTTGTCTGCCCGGTGCGATAGTCAACAAGACCTTCTGTGGCCTTTTGGGTTGGCTGTTTGGATTTCTGCGTAGGGTTGAAGATTCCCCGCTTTTTGTGAACGCCATGCGAAACTAGTAAGCCTCAAACACACAAGGCACAAATCAGGCAGCAAACATATATATATATATATATATCAGCGTTTTGCCAAAGGCAACGCATCAGGCACAAAAAAGTTTCAACGTTTTGACAAAAGCAACGCAGAGATGATACACATGAGTCCAGCATTTGGTGGAACCCAAAGAGGCAACAAGAAGAGCCAAACAGCCGCGCGCAGCAGCAGAGAGCTCAAAACAGGCAGCAGCGAACCTAGCCCTGCAACGCAACTGACAACATTAACAGCAGCAGCAAAAACAGTAACCATCATAGCAACAACAATCACCGCTAACACTACTGCTACTTCCACCACTACCATCACCAATACGGCTACCAATACGACTGCTTCTACAACAACTACTAAACCGCTACTACAATTGCTGCTGCTGATGCTGCTACTACTACATCTACAACCATCGCCGCAAGCAAACAAAGTCAGTGCAGGCTTAGACGAGGCACAGCCAAGCCAACACGATCAACCAAAACGTACTAGCGCAGGAAAGTTCCACACATTGAAGGTAAACAATGCGACCAGACACAAAAACCCAAAGAGCCAACCCAAAACGCCAACTAAGCCATAACAGAGATGGGCAGGGAATGAGGAATGGAATTGAGCCCTAGAAAAAGACATCCCACTGGTGATTCCTAGGGCACCATTCCCAGGTTCATTCCAATTCTCTCCCACCTATTGCACCAGCAAGTGGTCTCATGTTAATCCCATATTGATCAACCCCTATCGCAGCAGCAAGTCTTGTCTATCACACCACCAACCAACATGGGATGAAGTCAACGTTATCACACACCCCTGTCGCACCAGCAAGTTTTGTCTATCACCAGGGATCCTTACATTATACACCTGAACATTGCAACTTGACAATGGCGGTTTCCCTTTATTTGGGTGGACAAAAAAGCCGCAAGTTTCAAATGGTTGCAAGATGAACTTCTTTTATTCGGAGCCCTGAACTCACCCTCGAAGGGATTCTTCAAGCTCTTTCCTTGGACTCGAGGAGTTCCAGGGCGCGTTGCTCCCGGCTCTTGCCCTCCACGTACTCCCGCCTGAGTCACCGAGCCGTCGGCGCTTGACCATCCGACGTACTGGGCAAACGTGAGAGGCCTGCCCTCCATAAATACTTCCCATGCTGAGGGAACCTGTGGGGAAAGGCCCCCTTGGAATTGCAGATGTCGGATACTGTCAGATATTGTCGGATTGTGTCGGATTATGTCGGATTCATTCAGGTTGGTTGCCAAACTGAGTGGATGCTGTACAATGTTACAAGGACACGATGGGCAACCGGATCAGGAAATGGATGGCTTTGATTGAATCTCACTACCAAGGTACCTGAAAAGCTTTTGGGATCCTGACTCAACATGGACAAAGGAAGACCAGATTGTCAAAAGCTCGCTTCGGACAACTGAGCCTTTGTTACATTGGGAGCTGCTATCTACTGTCAAAGCCCGGGGTGTTTGGTCAAAGGTAACAAGTTTCTTAATCAAGCGCAGACAACAAATGAAAGTAGAAAGGTGTTTGAGTAGGGATTTAAGCAAGCCAGAAATATTGGAAAGCGACAGCGACGAACCCCCTATTTGCGCGGGGAGAGGCGTTTGTTTCGGAAGAAGCGTTGGTAAAATCCGATCTCACCCTGGAAAGACATGAAGCTGAAGTGCCGTGACCAGAGAAGAAACAAAGAACAGCCTTTGAGCAGCCCCAAAAAACATCTGAGTCACAATCCAAAGCCGGTAGTAAAATGGTCGACCCAGAACCATGTAAAGAATTAAGAAGGCGGTCGCAGCTATTTATGGTTCGGATTGCCCCTTACTAACCTTCATCTACCCGGGTTTTGATTGTGGCTCATCTGAAACTTAAGGCGATGGGTGACGAAAGGTCAAGCCCTGAATAGGGGGTAAAGTTGCCCAGGAAAAGTTTGCAGCCCAAACAATGAATGGCTCACGACCGAAGCAGGGAAATATAAAGGATGTTGTTCATCATCCCCAACAATCTTGGGATGCCTTTTTGAAATCCTAAACCCTTCCATGAAGATGCTGACCCCTCCAATGGGCCGATGATGCTTGGGGATGTACCAAAAAAATGCGGCGCAGTGGTTATACCTTGGCTGGCGAGCTGGAGTCCAACTTGACCGACACAAACCGCCCACTAAAAAGATCCGACTGGCCAACCCCTACGGTATACCAAAGAAGCAGCGGTGTTCAAATTATGTTTCGTACCCTCCCCCAAACTAACTTGGAAGACATGGTTCCATCTACAAGGGCCTTCTGGAAGCTTCCATGATAGTCCGAGGGAGTGTATCCCGTTTGCCCTAAACAATATCTAAACAAAAGGAAAACCCAACAATATACACACTCCAACATTTCACCCAAACCAAGTACTAAATATTCACGCAAACCCATACAAACAGTTTGACGGTTTACCCGTTGCCAACACATAAACAGCGAACGGGGTCTCATGCGGTCTCTGCCAAGCATCATCTCACGAACTTCTTGATCTCTCCACTCCATGATCTGCCGGGCCTCCAAAGCGGCAGCTTTGGGCGATTCGCTCCAACGGATTCCCCAAAGCCCTTACTTGCTTCACACGAACCCGTCTGAATGAGACCCGTCTGCAGTAGACTAGGTGGTTGTTTGGCTTTCTAAAATTTATGGTTAGCACATTAAGCTGCGCCTTTCGGAAGCGTCGAATCAGCAGGTTTTAAAATGGAATTCTTTCCAAATGCATCCAACATGGGGGGGGGGCATTTCTGGACGCACAGCCCTATACAAGACACTTTCATCTGAAAGACCGATCCCCGGGATCAACATACTAGAGGGACTACCTCCCGATTCATCAACAGTCATGTGCGCAGCGATCAACACCCATACACAAGTTGCAGCTGGTAGAACCCCTCTTCTCACCAAGGGTCCGGTCTTGCAAGCTAGGCTTCATGCGGTGTGTCCGAATTTGCCCTGGGCCGGCTTGTATGTCTCGAAAACACAAGCTGGCATTCGTGGTTGGTGGCTTCTCTAGAAAAAAGAGACCGACCGGTTGAGGTCTCCAGTGGCCAACCAATGGCACCACGACAGGTCTGGAGATGCCCCTTCTGCCCTGAGCTTTCGCCCAGCCCAAAATGCCATTGGTTCGGCTCCGTAGTTGCCCTCCCAAGAAATTCGAAAGGAGCCTGGCGAAGGAGCACGTTCCAACACAAACCCTCTTTCAGCTCCATGTGGCTGTGGGTGAAAATCCCGTACCCCCAGTGAACATCCCAATCCCCACTAAAATAGACTAATTTGCGTGGTGCACCTACCCCAAAATGGTACCATTGGTTTTGACCCACGGCCATGTTGCTGTTGGGAGGGTACTGGATCCCAAGGGCTTCCCTGAGGGCATCCTTTTTGAGGTGATTATCAAGGGACTACAAACAGAAAACCACAAATTTGCTGGGTCCCCATTTTGACACCCCCCCTCCGGGCTCCTCCTCCCTCCTCTCCAGCTCGGTCTGACGCGTCTCTTCTCGCTGCATATCCCACTTGATCTGCGACTCCAAAGCCTTGATCTGCCGCACCTGGAGTCGGGTCCGCTCAGATTTGAGGAATGTGAAGGAAGGACAAACATGGCCACAGCTGTTTTTCCTGGCAGGTTGAGACTTCTTGCGAAATGAATTGCACGTTGAAAGGAACCGGACAAGGGGGTTGGTCTCCTTTGGGTTGGGCGTCCCTGCCCTTGCAAGACAATCCCAAGCCCGGTTGCGGGCGAGCTTTGCGTTGCTACTGAGGGGCAGCAAGTGAATGGTGGGAAAAAACATGTTGGCCGGCTTGTGTATTTGGATAGGGTGGGCACAAGACTGAACCACACTGGACGACTACTAAAATGGTCTTCCCAAAAAGCTTAAGGAAGTGAGTGGGGACAGGAGGGTGGTGTTGATTTACGTGGTAAGTTTGATGTACAGGGTTTAGGCCCTCTTGTTGACCACAGAAAAACTCCAGCAGCAGGCTCTCATTGGCAAACACCTCCCGGAGATTCTGACTGGGATCATCAGCGCCGATTGACAAGGGCGCTACCCAAAGCAGATTGCGACCCCACATTCTGAGGTGGCTTGCTGCAAAATACAACCTCGCCACGCAGACTCCAGGCAGCCCGGGCACGTCAACCTGACGTTGACGGATCCTGGGCGCCCTGTGAAGCAAGCAACTACGTAAATAAACTCCAGTTGAAACAAAACAACGATGGAAGTTACGTACCCCCCGGAAATGCAAAGGATGGTAGAAGCGTGCAAACAGCCGCGCGGAGGCTGGTGGCCCTCGCTGAACCTGTAACGAGGCATTCGTGAGCTTTCGCCCCCGCTTGCCGGCAGGAGGGAGCCACGCCAAACTGCTTGAAGAAAAACAACTCAGGGGTTGCCCAAATGGCAACAGCCCCGGGCGAGCTGTTGTTCTTTGGAAGGCCATTTCTGTCCAGTACTGAAACGAGGGCTTGAAGGATACATAGACGGCGTCTGTTTCTTGGACACATGCTCCGAATGTGTCATCCCCAGGCTTGATGATTGTTACATGGGCCAAGGAAGCAAAGCACACATAAACTTGCTTCTTTGGGTTCACTCTTTACTGGATAACCATGCCAGAAAAAAACCAAGCGTGGAATGCACCACGTCCGTTGGGGAACAGTCATTGCCCAAAAGGAAAATGGAAGTGCGCGCAAGAAAGCTGATGGCCCTTTTGCATGGCAACTTTGAGGAACCTTTTCTCGTCCTCCCGTCAGCCAGGCCTCCTTCTTCTCTCGGTCCAGCCGAATCCGGGCTCCGGCAAAGTCATCCGAGGTTGGGATGCCAACCTCACGCCAACTCAATGGCAAAGAGCTACTCCCCTGCAAACCCCCTTCTTGCTGGTGTTTCCCTCTGGTGTCCAAAATGGTTGCTACTCTGAGCAGCTGCTCCCTTTCCACCAACCATGGAAGTGGACAGGAGGCCTTGCCAAATGATTTTCGAAGCCCTCAGGCCCACTTCCAACATTGAAAAGACTGTACCATGGACCCCCCCATGAAGAAATTCTGCTCATGTTGGGCCATGCTTGCGGGACCTTATAGTCAATTTGGCCGGCATTTTACCAACGTCGAAGCATGTTCCATTTAGATTCTTCCAAGTATCATACTCACAATTGAACTCCCAAAGTAGTGGTCGTGTTTGAGCGGCGTGGCTTGCCCTCCTGAACGTTGACAACCCCAACGCCATTAACATGTGACGCTGAGAGGAACCTGCTTCTTGGGGGTGTGACGTGTAAGTAGGACCTTAGACTTAGACAGCTGAGCCGCAGCTTGTATGCCAGCAGCCGCCGAGATCGTTGCGAATGAGAGGTTGGATGGACCTGCCAGGCAGGAAAGTGCTTCTCGGCTCCTGACAAGGAACCCCTCTTGTTGTGATACAAGTGGTTGCTTTGGAGCTCATCATGGTTGGGAGGATTCTTTTCTGGGATGCCCTCTTCGCGCCTTTTCAAGGATGGACGGCATTAGTGGCCGTTGCCCAACAGGGCCGGCCAATAAGCTCGCGAAGTGCCAAGTCGGAAAACAGCGTTGATATGCCACAACAGCTGTTGGAACCATGCGAGCAGCAGTGCAGGTCTTGTTGACCTGTGGCGCTCTATTAACATGGTTACACAGTTTAATGCAGGCTATGCAAACTAGGTACAGAATGACCTATTAGAAGTCATGTGGGTGTACGTTGACGCTACGGGCCCTCCATGTTGCAAACCCGGGGTGAAGTCGATCAAATATAGGGTGTTTGCCAGAGTTCCTATATACCCAGGTTTTTCAGGGCTCCGCATCAGGCTTTGGCCCGACAAATCCATCTCTGGTCAGGTGAATCATGGTCACTGCGCGTAAGGATCATAATGACGGCTCCCTTTGTGAGAATCTCCCTCACTGTGGACATGTCCTGAACTGACGGCTCTGCATGAGAAGGGTCCCTATGCCACTGTGCCTCCTTGCCGTGAGACCCTGATACAAGCAGTGGCCGGTAGCCCTGATGCCAAACATGCAAGAGGAGATGCAATCTAACTGCAAAAGAGCTCGCTCTGCAAATGATGTGTTTCTGTTAGAACAATTCTACACGCCACCTCAAAACACATGTTCTGTGGCTACCGTACGTGGAGTACCAAACACAACTATTGCCGCACAACCATTCTGAATTCGAGGAAGCAAACCAAGTAAACCAAAGGCCACCCTCGATGGCCCAAAAGCTGATGTTCAAACATCCAAAGAAGAAAAAACACGGACCTCCTGCAAAACTGGGGGGAGCACTTGGGAACACCCTCTCCCATATACTGATGGCACGCCTGGGTTCGCCTTCAGCTCGCGCCCCGCACTCCGGGAACGAGTTAAGGAGGGAGCCGGAGATCGAGCCTTCACCTGCAACGAATGCTTTCGTCCGTCACCTTGGATTTAATATGGTTGAATATTGTGTCGACTTCAATGTATATGAGATTTCAAGCATGGATTCCACTGATTAGAAATGGGCGTGAAACGCTTGGTCGGCCCTGGGCGAACGAACCTGACCGGAGTAACAAGGGGGCGCCCCCCCCGCTTTCCCAAAGTGAAGGACACCTTCGAACTGGGACACCAACTATTTGATTTTCCAGGGTTTCCATGCGTCAATGTTATTGGGTGCTCCCAAAAGTGCCGGAACCCTGGTCAAGAGGCTTGTTGTTTTTCATATTGAAAGTAAACCACCCAAAAGTCGTGGTACATGATGGTTTTATTTGTTGCCTTGCAAGGTTGCCGTGCAAATGCAATTGAACTGAAAACGGCATTGTTTCCTTAATGTTGCAAGTAAAATCCTATGCTTCCCCAGCGAACTCACCAAGGAGGAACTCAGGGAGGGAGGAACATGGGGCGTCTGGAAAAAGAACGCTCGATCCCAATCTTGCGCCACCCCCCAGATTACACAGAAACAATCCGGCTGATTCAAAGGGACTCGAAACGGAAACCACCCATGTCACATGAGACAACCCAATAGTTACGCCTTAAAATGCAAAAACTCCGCTGCCCGCCCAGTGGCCTGCACCTCTGACGGGCGTTTAGGCAGTGGTGACGCCGCGCCGCCGTTGGCCGCCTGCCTTTAGTGGACGTGTCTTGTTCCACGTTGGTTCTCCTCTTGGTTCTCCTCTTGAACCATCCAAAAAATGTGGCCTTAAAAAATGTAACTTTTCCTCGGGCAATCTCCATCTAAGAAATTTGTTTGCGCGTAAATGTGCCTCTAGAGCGCGTCTCACGCAGAAAAAAGCGTGCAGCCGCGGACGCTATGCTGAGCCACAAGACCCAGGAGCAGGAAGATTGAGCGCTTGGATGTTTTTGGCTTGACAACTTTGACTTTTAGAATTTCAGCTGCAATGACCCAAGTAGTTGGATCTTCGGGCTACACGGTCCCTGCAAGAGCTTGCGCGGCCCTCGTAGAAGGTGACGTGAACCTCCACCAAATAATCGTCACTTGGGTAACAACTAAGGGTGCTATTGATTAGGGGTCAAAGCTGCCTTGGTTCCATTTTGGTTTGACTGAGTTGCAATGCCGTCGCATCAGCCAGCAGCATGCTTGAGGCTTGACTTCCAAGCCGCCGCAGCTTTCAGCACCGACGAAATAATTCACACAAGTGGCCCAACAAGCCAAAACCGCCAAAACTGCAAGGACTTGCTCTGGCTTCGCCTGGCGAAGGCCTCAAGCTTTGGCCTATCCTGGCCCCGCCACTGGCGGGAACCTCAGGCCTGGCGGGGTCTGGAACTTTGATCGCGGCCGTCCGGCTCCCGCGCTTCAGACTGACGCAGTCGCCTTGTCAAAGCTGTGTCAGACAGGCGTCAGGCTCTGTCGGAGCAGTCTGTCACAAGCTCCCTCCCTCACAGCTGCATGTCGCATCTGTCTGTCAGGCTTTGTCGCAGCCGTCTGTCACAGGCTCCGTCATAACTGTCTGTCACATCTTCCGGGCTGATGTCGCTGAAAAGCCCAGCAACCCCAAACCTGTCGAGTGGGGGAAAAGACACACCCAAATGTTGTTTCGCGGGTGCCCCAAATCCGATGTTTGAGCCACCCTGGCACTGGGGTTTTGTTGAGAGGGGAGCCACAGCACAAACGCGCAATTTGCGGGGTGGCCCTACTTAGAGACTGGCCGTCCCAAAGAAAGAGATGTGGAAAACATATAATTACTCTTTCCTTACCTGAAATAAGGGATGCGTATTCTAAGAACTGCTTTCACTAGAGTTTTAAGATGAAAGAGGTTTGCGCAACGTCCAAGTGGATGGCAAGATGTCCAAATGCATTGGTCAAGCTGGTCGAACCTTGACTGGGTTAGCTGTGGGCAAAGGCGGCAAAGAGTCAAACAGAAAATCGAACCAGGCGACACTCCAGAGCAGGAAAAATCGATGGCTTCAAGGGTTGACTACACCAACCGCTTCAGGCCAATGGGCCCATGGCAAGCAGTCCCACTGCCCAGCAAACAAACAAACCTCAAAGGGCAAAAGGATCCACTCACTCTCTTCGCCCCGGCTCAGTCATTGGGACCGTGATAGGTACATGGCGATGAACCTGCGTAACCAAGTCTAATGAGGCATCTGCGGCCTCAAGGATTGACCGACCTGTCCGGGTTGCTTCTGCGAACCCAAGCAGTTGATGATGGAATTTTAGGCCAACCACTGCTCAATTTGTATTCTAAAAAAGGTGCTAGCGACAGGGCCTGACTGTACACGCCAAACTGCATTGGAGGAGCCGTCTGGCTGAATCTGGCTGCTACAACTCCGAGTGATATGAAGAAGACGTGCCTTCTTTTGTAAAACACCCTGACAAGAAGGTACACACCCAACGTGCCAATGGACTGTGTTCTCTTTAACCCTCAGAGAAAAGGGAAAAAAACCAAAACCAGCTTCTTCCCGTTCAGCGTGATCTGCCGCAACCCGGCGAACACAAGGCGATGTCGAAAAGCAAAAGGGATCTCCGACCCGCCTCCGTGGCTGGGATTTGGCAGACACCTTGTAGCAAAGTGGTAGGCGGGTTTGCTCTACGGTGGTTCAAAATCACCCTACGGGTGCCGCTGTTTTCCCTTTGTAAACCACCGGTTGGGCGTGTCTTAAAATAGGGGAACGCCCAAATGGTGGGTGTCCCTTCGTTCCTCTTTAAACCACCCAACAAGGTACGGAGGGCAAGTTTGAGGATACCATTTCGGCGTAACCTTCCCACCGGCTCCCTTGGAACCCAACTTGCAAGTCTCAAGGAATAGCATGAACCTGTTGGAGCCTGGTGCTGTGGGCGACCCTTTGCTGGCAAGTTTGGCAGAACTTTTGGGGACACTTGTTGTTTGAAGAAATCATGACGACGTTTAAATCCAAAGGAAGCCAAAAGGTCCCACCGGACCTTAGGTCTGAGTGAATGTGGGCGCGAGCTTCAAGTCTCGGCAGGGCTGGACTTTCAAGCCCACCTGCTGTCGTTACATATGGCCCGGACGACGTTTCAGACTCGCCATTTCGTCGTGCGCGGTAGACAACTCTCAATAGTAAGTACCGGAAGATACAGGACAACGCAAACCTGGACAGCATTCTCCTTTTGTCAGCCAAACTACTACGACTACTAGGGGGTTGGCATGGAATCTTGCAGCATGCCGAATTGCAGTCAGACCATGTCGTCCAGTCAGACCTGCAAGAAAACCATTGACATGCAATTCTGAGTCCCAGCCAAACCCCCCGGCTTGAAAAAAAAACAAACCTCCTGGGCTTGAGCCCAAAAATCTGAAAGCCTCGTGACTTGAGTTTCAAGGCAGTCAATTGGTATCTGCACAACTGTGACACTTCCATGACCGGCGGAGACGGGAAATC